ATGTATCGACTCACGCATGCTATTTACTACTGTAGCTAGCCCGTGCCAGACTCTCCGCGAGCTACTAGCGGGATACCACGAGTAAAGAAAGGCATTAAAAACCCAGCCCATCAATTAGTGGTACCGCACATGCGCAGTTCGCCGAGGGTTTGCTCGGATAAGAGCGAATATTTTTATACAACAGTTTATGACCAAGAACTACACTTTGGTAGCCAATCTAGTCCTGCACAGACTTCACAAATGCGTCCGATTATCGGTGGTTTACTCTATAGGTAAGACGGCAAACGGACCACTTGTAGCGTCCGGACTACTTCCGCTTACTGTCCGCCCGTACACTTCAATACAAAATCGATCCACCTAGTGAGGCTATACTGCGCTCAGGGCTACCGTATACTCAATTTAAACGAAAAATTGTAGAGCCTCGTGGGCATATTGAGTGAAAGAACGACGGTCATAGCTTACTCAGTCCGCCGATCTCAACCAGCCTGGAGGCCTAGGTAATTGTAAGCAAAAAGACTCAGCTTGTCCTTGAACAGTTCTCACGAAGAGCACAAACTCAGGTAAGGCTATTCATGCCTAGAGAGCCCTTTTCAGGGGAAAATACGGGCTGTCTACGCTAGACTAGCCTCTAGCCGTCGCTCCCATTGGAGGCTGTGCCGAACGCAACGCTAGTCACTAAGGCATTGCCTCTGTGCGAAGGACTGGGTACTGCAGAATCGCTAGAGGCTCGGAGGCTTGTCTACGACCGTGGTGGTTACTCGGCAGGACTGCTGGTATATCTACTGGTCCATAGCTGGGCCTCTGGGTACTGATATTCTGACCTGTCTTTCTCCACGTGTTCACCGTTGATGTGTAGCTAGAAGTGCATACTTTTATGTAGTATCGCTTAAATAGAGCATACGATCACCCCCATCGGTAGCGCATGCTATAAAGTGTACGTTTTGTACAGCTAACGGTCTAGGGACTTCCGGTGGCCGATAGAAGTCCGGACGTGACGTAAACGGATTCTTGAAATTCTTTCGCTTACGTCTCTTCGATCGAGCCCGCTGGAATAACCGAGGCGGAGCCCAGGTTTCTATTGCGTTATTCAGCTGACCACAAGGGCTGCAGAACGACGGAGGAACGAGAATTTGCCGTCTTAGTTGTTAAAAATGATGGACAGTCGTACAGTTGGCTGTAGCTCGTCCGCGTCCGCGTTCAACCTTTTATTGTGCATTTGCATGTAGCAAAACAATATATGCACCGGCTTATATTACAACCGCTATCTCCTTACCTTATATACCAGTTGAAGAGATGATTTTTTCCCCAGAACGTCTCCAAATTAAAACGGAGGTGTGCACGGACATCAAGCGATCGTTTCTTCCTCTTCCATGGAACAACGCCATTTGCTGCATCGGTGAGCCGCGCGCATGCGCAAGGCAGGGGCGTTGCGTATACTCACAGAGTGATGTTTGCTCTACGCGAATTAGAGTCCGCGCATGGACCAATCAGATTGCTACCCAGCTCTAATAGACTGGTAAGCTCTCACCCATAGCCAGAGATTACCAGTGATTCCAAACTTCCAGAGCTTGCCACAGAATCAAAGGCCTTTTTGAAGTCTAGGTAAATACCATCTGTTTAAAGAAAACAAGTAGCTAGGTGGAACGTCCACGTAAAAATCTAAACTGGGCGACAGATATAGAGTCACCACTATAATATTATAAATGATCTTTTTCAGAACCTTTGCAACAACTGATAGTAATGAGATCGGGATGTGAATAAGGTGAGTGCTCCACTCGAGAGGGAGATACTTCTGGGATAAACTGAGGGAAAAGAGATGGTGAAGAGGTTGGTAGAGAGCTAGAGCACAGTATTTCAACAGCTTTGGACTAATGCCATCATATCCCATAGCCTTAGTTACATCAAGGGATCTAAGAACACAAAAAACATCTAATTCACTAATGCAGATATTATTGAGGGAAGACAAAGGCATTTCCAACTCACTGAATGGAGGTAACTGGAACATACTCCTGGTAAATACTGAATTAACCCTCGGCGGGCATGGGCAGCGAGGGTTACTGTAGTTGGGTTTGTCTGTGTGTCTGTCTGTTACTCTCAATCTCACTTCTCGGGTGTTTGTTCGTCCCACAAAGGATACGACCTACCTACGGGCAATGAAGGTCAGAAATTTCGAACGGTTTTCTCTGAAACTGCTCCGTTGCAAAGCTAGAGCGCGAAAAAGCCAATATGCAAATACACAACGGACGGGATGGCTTACCACAGTCGGATCGATCCGCGTGCTCTGCGTACTTCGGAGGCACCAGAAGATGCAACGCAGGGCGTGTATCGCCTCTCGCATGCTATCTAGTAGTGTAGTTAGCCTGCGTCAGACTCTGCGCGAGCTGGCAAGAGACCACGGGTAACGCTAAAACTAAACCCAGCCCATCAATTAGTGGTACGGCGCGTGCGTTTACTTACGCGTGCGCGTCACAGTGAGGGTTACTGTTGTCTGTGAGTGTGAGTGTCTGTTACTCTCAATCTCACTTCTCGGGTGTTCGTTCGTCTCACAAAGGATACGACCTACTTAACGGGCAATGAATATCGAACGGTTTTCTCTGAAAATGCTCCGTTGAAAAGTAGAGCGCTTCCAGGATTGTATGGCAAATGCCATTTTATCGCTGGCTGTTAATGCGCATGCGCTTATATTTAGCACAGGCTTACCTCGACCGGGTCCGCTTGCTCTGTCTATCTTGAAGGCACAAGAAGTCACAACGAATGGCGTGTATCGACTCTCGCGTGCTATCTATTACTGTAGCTAGCCCGTGTCAGACTCTGCGAGCTACTTCGCCGAGGGTTTGCACTTTAGTGCTTTTCATTGGGTCTGTCTGCGTCTGTCTGTCTGTGTGTCTGTTACTCTTCATCTCACTTCTCGAGTGTTCTTTCGTCTCACAAAGGATACCACCTACCGAACGGGCAATGAAGGTCAGAAATTGAAAACGCAAAGCTAGAGCGCGAAAAAGCCAATATGCAAATACACAACGGGCATGATCGATCCGCGTGCTCTGCGTACCTCGGAGGCACCAGAAGATGAAACGCAGGGCGTGTATCGCCTCTCGCATGCTATCTAGTAGCCCGCGTCAGACTCTGCGCGAACTGGCAAGAGACCACGAGTAACAGCTAAAACTAAACCCAGCCCATCAATTAGTGGTGGTACGGCGCATGCGTTTACTTACGCGCGCGCGTCACAGTGCGCCGAGGGTTTGCACTTCAGTGCATTGAACAAGGATGCCTTTTCAAAATATATCGTCACGATGAAGAGTAGATGCAAAACATTTTGGTTAGAAATTGAACGGATATAGGAGTAAATTGCTGAAGAATTGGAGATGTGGGAGAGTTTAGTAAAGACTGCAGTCAACACACCTATAAAAGAGTTCTATTGCCTGGGCTGACATGGGATATATTGGCACAGCTGCAATGTGTTACGTTACAACTGTGCAAGGATAGTCCTCATGCGGGAAAGCCCAGGCAACTGTTTATACTCTACTATATACCTACTTGACAAGGAAAGTGTGCCACGGTTGCACATTTTGTTTTGTTCTTTTATTGTATATATGATATACCACATTGCAAATCTCAGTTCAAGAGAGCAGTTGTTTGGGAATGAGAATTAATGTTTTACTGAGTAGCATCTCATTAGGGCTTAAATATCACACGCATGCAGGCACAAAAAGGTTTGTAATGTCTACAGGTAGCACACAACTTCATACAATGTATGTTTTACAGTCCAACATTTCGAGGGGGTGGTAACTACGAGTAGAGCTAGGATCATTGGAATGATGCCACACTGACTCTGGGTTAGTATGAGCCTTCTCAGACTGTTGCGGGTGGAGGAGAGGGGCTGTGTCATCATTTTTCGCAAATGACCAGCAACAAGAAGCAGTAGTAGTTACTTCTCTTGAAGCTGGGTGGTGCCCATCCACAATATAGGAACTGTGTAAGCTGAATATCACTAAGTACATAGTACTTAGTAGGTTGTCCTGCATCCCATACATTTAAGATTTGTACGTTTCACTTTCAGTTTTAATCAGATCCCACTTCTAGATATTCATGAGTTCAGGTCCCACACATTTCCATGGGAGCAGAAAAATGTGCATTAAAAAGTGTAGAATATAGGGATGCAATAAAAAGCAAGGAGGCAAGACAGGGATGACCTATATAGTGCATGTGATGGAGTAGAATGGATGATGGTCACATCTTCAAACTGATATTGCTAGGCCCTATATTGTCACCACTTGGGTGTCTTTTAGTGAATATATAGAGTGGGGGGACAAGATTTTGTAGAGGGCCAAGAACGCAGCATTGTAAAACTGAGCGAACATGGAAGTCATAAACTACAAAATGCAGTCATGACTCCAAACTGAGGAGCTGTCAGAGAGGGCATTAGCTCTATGTACCTGTCTTGCATGCTTAGTAAACAAGTCATAGTTCCACATCATGTGATGTGGATCACTCCTGCTTTGCGACCAGAGGAAAATTTACTCGAGCAAGCAATGTCAGTTTGAATATGTGACCATCATCCATTATACTACCACTGTACTACGTCAATAACGTCATCCCTGTCTTGCCTCCCTGCTTTTTATGGCGTCCCTGTATTCCACACTTTTTAATTCACATTGACATTACCTGCCTTTTGAAGCTGTAGATCGGAACACACGACTGATGAATGTCTTGTGATGGTTGTTGAGTTACCGAATTTCAAGGAGAAAAGGGAGACGAACTGCAACCCCCTATCATAGCCCCTTACAAGTCTATATACCATGCCCCGATCTCTGACTAGGTGATTCCGCACTGAGTAAATGAATTCATGACCCTTTAAAGTGAGTGTAAGACTATCCTACTAATTAGTGGCCTTGCTTGGTGTTATCTACCATTACAGGGAAAATATGTCACATAAATCACACGTCTACGCATGCGCAGTGGGAGGCGGGGCTAGCGCAGTGTGGCGTGCATTAGCTGGAATTCTTTTGCCTTCCTGCTGCACTGTCACAGCATGGCTCAGAAGACCTCTTACTGGGACTGCTCATTTCGTCTATAAATCTTCGAGGCCTACTATATATAAGGGTACGTTGACAAGTAGGTCACTTGTCGCTGTTTGTGTAAATTTGATCTATTCGCTTTACGCCGATGACTGCCCGTGTGTGCTATCCGGCATGTCATTCGAAGTGTTAAAGAGCTGCGGGAACTGTTGATATACAGCGTTGCACACGAACAATATTCATTAGCTGTCTCGTTGTGCTCTAGATAGCCATGGAGAGCTCCACGGCGTGGATAGAGGCTGTTACCCAAAGACTAAGCTCCACGGTGAGTGATACGGCGTTTTTGCGGAGTAGTGCGTTGGTCTACTCCAGTTGAGTGTGTGCACATTATGTAGCATGTAAGCTGCAGGCCTAAGGGCCATCAGCTGTGGTCAAGTCTTGCTATACACTCAAAGATACATGTATTTGCACAGAGCTGGGGTACCATACAAGGAGAAATTGTTGTCTGGGTGTGTTTGTTGGATCTTGTATGTACTGAGCTCCCAAAGTGCACTAGCATGCCATGCCTTATATGCCATTTATGCACAATGAAGACGGCAAAGACCTTACTCGGGGTAGTAATACACAGGGGAAAATAGAAGCGCTGTCCTAATCCAAGTCCTCATCTGCCTCACCATTATAAATCCATGCTTGTGGGGGGAATACCATCAGTGACCACTGACTAGCCTGCTGTCTGTATAAAGCTGATCCTTAACTTTTGACCAGGATGTGGGTTGCAAAATATTATATTGCTGCTTGTGTAATTTTATGTTGGAGGGAGAGCCACTTTTGTAACCAGCAGTGTTTTGCTGTTAGCTACAAGATGTGAGCGACTGTTGCTGTGCATGTGTGGGCCACAACTCACAACAGTTGTGCATAAGAAAGCAGAAGAGTATGTAAAACAAACCTTTTTCAGCAGTGTGTGTTGTTGTTTGTTGTGTGTTTAGAAGTGTTTGAGGATATGTGTACGTGTGTGTGTGTGTAGGAAAGAGTTCTCTACACACACACAGTTGCCCCACAAGGTGGACCGAGGTCCATGGAGTGCAGGAAACAGCAAGGTGCAGTATAAAAACACTGGAGACTGTATTGTGGGTCTGAGTCAACAAGAGTTCTCAACGGTTATCAATGGCATCTGCTCCATCATTGCGGAACTGATTCAGGTCAGTTACTGTACATACAAGGGTATGAAAGCAACTCTATGTTTATACGTGCACGTGGTGTGAACACCAATTGAAAGTGCTTCTTTCCAAAGAATATCTAAGGAAACAGCGAAACAGACTAATGTCTTAGCCCCTGTTGGTGAGAACTCAGTATTGCCCTCTGCATAAGAGCTCTTCGGTAAAATTACACCAAGCTAACTGTTTATGAATATTCATTGTTGAAAGTATTTGTGCTGGAACTCATGAACTGTTGCTCTCTTATCTAGACTACTCCTCCTACCAATGCCAATAGCGTGGAAAAGGAATCGTATATTCTGGTACTTGAAATCCTTGCCTCCTGCCTGGCAAAGGTGGGTGCTATCTTATCGTAAGCGTGTGATGAAATGTGTTGTGATGCACCATTTAGTTAACTCTCGGCGTGCATATGCAGCCAGGGTTATGGTATTTGGTTTGTTAGTGTATGCATTTGTGTCTGTCCGTTTGCCTGTTACCACGTTTTCTGCTACTACGGGCAACAAGACAACAAAACAGCGATACCAACGGGTTCATTGCTACACTGGCTTCATTTTTTAAAAGGCGATTTTCTTATAACTACTGCATTCAAGAGTTATGGCGTTAAAGCAAGTGAACAAGCCAATTGCAAATTAGCACAGCCTTGACCGGGTTCGCTTGCTCTGTGTATCTTGTAGGCACAAGAAGTTACAACGAAGGACATGTATTGACTCCCACATTACTGTCTAGTCAGACACTCCGCAAGGTACAGCAGGAGACCACGAGTAAACACATACTTATAGCAGTACTGCGCATGCGCAGTTCGCCAAAGGTTTGCACGTAGTGATTTTCGTTTTGGCAATGACAAAGTTTAGTTAGTGTTTGCCTTAGTGTTGAAGATTTGAAGTGGTACCTATAGACTGCAGAGTGTCGTGGATTCGAATCCCACATAAGGCAGCTCTTCTTTTTTTCCTTGGAAATAAATGAGCTGTCCTGGGTATATTTGCTGTGCCTTTGCTTTTCTACCTCGTAGTTTACACGTGCATGATAGATACCATACGTAACCTACGAAATTGGTTTAGCTGACTACAAGTTATGACAATTATGATGTGATAATATCAAGGGCAATATGTATAGCTAGGGTGTATAATTAAACGTTTTCGTAGTTGTGTATATCTTTTGCTTGAGGAAAAATATTCTGCGATAATTCTGTGAGTCAGAATCATGCATCTTACCTGTAACCCTCAACTTTATTGATAATCCTAGTAAAGCTGAAGCAGCAAGTTCTCAGACAATACTTTAGCCCTGGCAGTGTATCAGCCCTACACATGTAGTGAATCTTGTGGAACTATAAAACGTTCAGGTCTGTAGATAACAGACACAGAGACTAATGCACAGAGACATAGAAGAGTGTTTCCCACATGTTTGAACCTTCAGGTTGACACACAGAAACCATACATACTGCAAAGGCAACAGATCAGTGCTGCCTAATGACACAATAGCTTGTAAAATGTGGTTGAAAGTGTTCTTATTCAGCTCTTTCATTGTGAGTGAAAACCTTTTTGCAAACAGCAAACTGTAGTGTTATTGCTTTCATGTTACTTTTGTATGTACATAAGTGCAGTGTAAATACTAATAATTATCCATATGGTGAAAACTACATTCACACCTGTTGGTGTTAGCGGGGAGCAATTGAAGGAGGAGGAAGGGGTAGGGTTGACTGCTTATCTTGCCACACATTCACCTCAAATGCAGAATTAACACCCATTCTGCAAAAGGTTCTCTAATGGAGAGGGGACGAATAAATTCTGTAAGGGGGGGAGACAAGGAGAGCAGCCTCTCATCCTTCCCTGCTTAAGCTAAACACGTGCGATCTGCATGGCAAATTAACAGATGTGTATGTACCATGCAGAAAGAGGGTACTCCAGTGGAGGATGATGATGTTCACTCACTACTCTCTCTCTATCAGAAGATTACTCAAGTATGTCTTGCATAATATTACGTGTGTATGCTGCAAAAACGAAAAGACTTGTTCCTTTGGGCCGTGCTATACAAGTGCAATGAATTTTCCCTACACGCCAAGTATATTTTGTACCCATGCACTGTAGTCAAGTTCTTTGTCCTCTTGGTTTGTGTAGCTCTGCCTCCTGCCAGGAGAGAATGCTGGCTGCATCAGGGAGAAAGCTCAGAGAGTACTGTTTTTTCTCTCAGGACTCCATTTCCATGGCATTTTCAACAAAATCATTCTCAGGTGCTCTGCTTTTACCGTAATAGGATGTGTAATAATGTACGCAGCAAGATCTGGACATGTGTGTACATGTACTTTGTTATGTGTAGGGTGACCTCAGTCAATAGAGTACTAAGTTCTCAAGGAGGTGATGCAGCCAGCTCGGAACTTTGCGTGATTCAACTCATCCTCCACCTCAACCTCAATGCAGCTCGTCTCCAGCAGATACTGCAAGGTACTATATACATGTACTCTATATAGAATTTTGTGTAAAAGCTGCTAGTCCATGAAATCGTAAGTCTGTGGCCTTTCTGACAAGCTTAAAAGCAGGCCCTAGGGTTTCATGGGCAAGCTGCCATTTATGTAACTATAATATTTAAATTTATGTAGTATTCTGTGTAAGCATGTAAAAGAATGGAACGTTGCACTGCCCTTTCTGGATAAACATTACAATGTTGATGCTGGAAGTGTTCTATTGAGCAACTGAAACAGCTCAGCTTTATAGGGCCAAATCTGATTATAAACAGTTTGTAACGATAAGGCAGTGTGCATCTAACAGGTGCACATCAAATACTACTCTGATCCATTATCTAATTAACCATACTGATCATGTAGTGTGATTGCTCTCTGGACCATTAGCCATGTCTTGTCTGACATTTGTGGTCAGATGTTTGGTATGTACTGACATATGGGACTATACTGTTAACGTCATGTCACGGGTCATTGCTATGCGAGAAATGCATAACTGTATGCATGTTCATGTTGTTGTGTCCATACTGTTTACGTAGTTTTGTTGCTATTCCAGTTATGGTTACAAGCTTCAAGGACTTGAAAAAGCAGAAAAATATATTCGTCACAATCCCACCCATTCTGCACAGGGTATGTTAAGAATAATGTTTTTCATACAGTACAGATAAAGCTCCTGTGATATCTTCTTGTCACAGAGCATATGGAATTTCATTTCTGAATATCCCAGTCAGTTTAATGACCTGCTCAACAAGGAGTACCCTTCATTACCCAGTGAGTAACATTCCAAGTGCTGCCCAAGTACCTACTACATCCATGTCCAATGAGTAATTACTGTGGATTGTTAACCCTCGGCGCGCATGCACTGCGAGGGTTACGGTAGTCGTTCTGTATGTCTGTCTGTGTCTGTCTGTCTCTGTCTGTCTACGACTATTCTCGCACTATAGGCTACGAGGCGGCTTATGAGCGATACCAACAGCTTTAGCGGTACATGGGCTAGAAAAAATGGCGATTTTGCTGAAACGACAGCGTTCGAGAGCGACAAACTGGCACGGTTGCGGACAGCGTTGCGTGGCCCAACCCATCAATAAGCGGTGCGCATGCGTGTATTAGACGCGATCAACGCAGTATGCTGGCTCACCTTGACCAGCTTGCTCTGTGTACCTTGGAGGCACAAGAAGCCACAGCGAAGGGTGCATGTGTATCGACTCCCGCATGCTATCTACTACTGTAGCTAGCCCGTGTCAGACTCTCTGCGAGCTACTAGCGGGAGACCGCAAATAAACGCCAATAGCCCAGCCCATCCATTAGCGGTACCGCGCATGCACAGTTCGCCGAGGGTTTGCACTTTAGTGCTTTTCATTGTGCAAGCACTCTGCCATACCATTACTACACCATACTCAGCCATATTAGCATTTGAGTTCTCCACGTAGGATCTGCAGAGAAGCTGTTCATGATGTGTGACGAGTACGCAGACAACCAGAGAAGAAAGAGCCAAGTGTGGCCTCTTCAAAACACTCTGCTGATACTCTGCCCAGTAAGTGATTAGGGCATCTTGTGTACACATTTGAGAGAAATCAAAGGAATTTTCCCCACAATTCCTTCCCTGCTGAATATGTTTTTAATTGTTAGCAGTTGTCAGGGTTACTGTTTGTCTGTCTGTCTGTCGGTGTGCCTGTCTGTCTGTCTGTCTGTCTGTATATATGTCTGTCGGTGTGTCTGTCTGTCCGTCTGTAACGTGCTGTGGGTATTTATCTTGCCAGAATAGTTGCTAAACTACTGCTATGTAGTTCTAAGCAGCCATATTTTGCAAATCTGCATGCGCACAAGTTCTTCTAAGACATTGTGAATGTGTAGTAGCTTGCACTCTGTTTCAGCTAGCCACAACTATTGAGGTATGTAAGCATGAAGCACCATTATCATACCCAAGTGCTTTTCGCGCTGTAAGTTACACACATGTGCTTGTGTATGTGTATGTACATAGCACGGAAGCTGTTACTAAGCTGTATAAACCTTAGCGTGCCCTACATTCACGCTACTTTCGAGACTGATAAAATAACAGCTCCTGATTATTAATCCACAAGTAATCATCTTACTTGTGTAATTGGTGCGAAAACACGGTCATACGGTGTAGACTAATGTGTATCAAAATGGTGCACAGAACTGGCCAACTGTGTAATGTCTATTTTATAAGCAAAGCGAGAAGTACCGTGCCGCAATTTCTGCTACAGTCCATGGTTTCACAGCTGAGTGACTGTGGGTTGTTAGAAATGCAGCAGCACTAATTGACATCCGTCTTAATCACATGGAGAACAAGGCCCTGTAACCACATTTATGATGCAAGCTATCGCTATTGATGACCACTGGGATGATAGGTCTCAGTGCCTCTGACCATATCATGTTAGCACCAGACCTCCAATAGTCATACATAAATATGTCATGTTACCTGCAACCCATCAGTTGTGTTTGGAGGAGTGCACAGATTATTCTGAAACTAGTAAGAGAACCGAATGTTGTATGCCCACTACGTTATGTATACCTGACACCTGCTTTGCAGACTTGACACTGTCTCTTGCCTTGTATATATACATATATTATGTATGTATGTGTAGCTTGTGTGTATTAGGCTTGTTTGTGGTTTCAGAATATCCTGCGGGACATAGCAGAGAGTGGAATTGACAATTCAAGTGGACCTCACAAAGCGCAGGTTAATATAGTACTGTAATAAACGTGTTTACATTGTTTTTCTTTATAAACATCTTCTGTGTTTTTGTGGAAAGTTGGCTCAATGATGCCAACTTTCACTTGAGACCCTGCAAGTGTAATATGTACATACATTGAACAGACCCTAAAATTACACGTGGTGAACAAGCATAAATTCAACACACTACAGTACAGTAGGATACCTTTTCTTCTCCCCTTAGACTTTATTCCACATTCAGCTATACTTCTTAGTGCAACTCTTACGTAGTTCTAGTCAAGAAATTACAGGACTGTGAATGTTCTATTACTGCCTCTGTGGTCCAGTAGGCATTCTAGCCCCAGATGACCCTAGATGAGCTATATTGATGAATTTGCTAAGCCACCCTTTGTGTGACACTGCCATGGTAGAAAGGAACAATGTATGGTCATAAAAAAATGATGGATTGTCTACATACCAGGTTTAACTGGGCAGACTATGTTTGGTCACATCAAAGTAAACCCTATAACTGTGGGAGTGTGTTTCTTAGGAATACCTGACCACCCGAAATCGCCTCAGGCATGCATGTTTCACTGCAGTTGTATGCCTACTGGCAATATGTATAGTTGTGTCTAAGATGGCTCAAAACATGTACGTGTATGTTGTGACCCGCACTGCCGCACTTCACTTGCCCCGTAATGTTATACGTGATTCTAAATGCGTGCAGTAACACGCACGAATCATTGAACTGCTTGCTCCCCTCCCCAAAATGCATTGCATTCCTCTAGTATTTACTGCACTCTCGGTGCCAATGGCTATAAGTGAAGATGAGGGATGTGAGTGATCGGTTCAGCTCACCAACGCATTGCAGTTTGTACACCCACATTCAGGGGGCCTGAAGTTCACTGCTTGTATGTAACTGTGTAAACCAGAAACCAGGGTATCCTGTGATAAAAGGATTGGCTTAAAATGTAGTCATTTTCCTGCATGTTGTCCTGCCAAAAGCTTCCTATGTATATACGATACACCTACATAACTCACTACAAAAAGGAAACGTATACTCCAGTAGATTTGCTGGGTCTTGCAAGTCTGATCAATGAAGCTTTGTCGTTGGTCATGGACTGGATAGCTTGCTACAGTGAATTTAACCAGGTCTACCTTTTCATGTCCAAAGTCACTCCCATATCTTTTTGTTATGCATGTCCCTGCACAATTCCCCCGTTGCTTTGCCTGTTTGAATTTCACCCACCTCATTGCTGCCTGTTTGTAGTGTATATTGTAGCATGTAGAAACTATATCCAAGTGAATGCTCTGAGTAAAAAAGTCTTATTTCTTCCCTTGGAGTAACCCATGCCATTTATGGGTTATGATTGTGTGTTACACAGAGGGCTTTCCTGAGTGCTGTGATGAAGGCACTGGCATCCATCAGTAAACAGATGTGTGAGGCAGCCACAGTGTGTGGAGTGGACATGTTCAAAGCCTGTGCTTATGTTGGCGATAGCAGTGCCCCTGTCTTCAGATACTACCTCAACCTCATCCAGGGAAACCTCCAGGTCTGTGAACATGTCTTATTTTCATGTATGTATGTATCCAGTGCCAAGTGTGCAAGTGTGCGTTATTGTGATGAACACGTACGGTACAGAACATACATGTGTACATATCCTATCGTAGAAAGTCATTGCAGATGCTGCATGTGCTCGTTTGGCAGTTCTGTAGCCTCCTAAATTATGAGTCACACCCTCAATCTTGCCGGCTTGACAGTGCAGTAGTATTCTAATTAGTGTATGCACTTGAATACATAGTGATGCTGTCCCTGACGATTTTAACAACTGCCACCACTGCATAGCTTTAATGCCCTGTCCTCAAACCAGTGTCACTGCAGTGTTATGCATGAAAGTCCACTTTTGCACTTTCACAATCCACAGTGTATGTACAGTAAGTCTGTCACATGGCGAATATCTCTCGTAAAATGCAGTACGTTGGATTGGGTTCACGAGTTCTGCGATTACGTATATAGTATGTTGTATGCTCTGTCCCCTCCCCAGAACCTGCTGTTCAACCCTCAGCAGGGACTCTTCCTCCACCAGTCATCCAGCACCCTGGCCCTCATCCCCACATTCACTGACCTCGGGATGATGGTGACCTGTCTCGTGGCCCAGTTCAGATGCAACTACCGCAATAGCCACATCTTCTCTGTCTGTCTCAACCCCTCTTCCCCGCCCATCTTCAGACTCGCATTCATTAGGAGTATCCACACATTACTGGAGCAGGTGATTAGATCAAATGACATGGCCAACAAATTGCAAAGTTCAGATAACTGTAGTACAGGTCATACATGCTCAGTGTGAGGTGTAACATTGCATTTTTGTCCTTGGACAAAAGATCAGCACTGCTATTGTGTGAATGGGCAGTAACATGTAGGTGCATTACTTTGAGCTACAGTAGACACAAGTAGGAGGCATTATATAGGATATTTCAGGAGGTATACACTTGCGTCTAGATTGTATTGTCATTCCTTACTATATAAATTTGTATTGTACTTTGTCTAGAATACCCTACCATCCTGGCCAGGTCCAGAGGCTGTTCATACATATGCACCTCAGCTGAGAGAAATATTTCAGGTATATTTGCAAAATTGCAGTATTTTTTGTTAGCTGATTGATTGTGTGTACTCTTTTGCTTTTAAAATTACATCTTGTCCTAACCTGTGCCTCCAAACAGAATGTCCTTCCCCAATTGAGACGCTATGACACGTCCCAGCCCAACCTGGCATTTGACGTGAAGGCCTACCTCACTACCAGTGCTACAGCAGCCAGCATGCTCACCAACAAGAACAAAGCCGACCGCAAGTCTCTGGTGGAGATGATTACCCACTACCAGCTGATGGCTGGGCTCATCAGGCTCTTTGAGATAGACCCCATGCTGGCTTTTGCTGCTCCCCCACAAGTATGCATTCAGTTTGACTGTATTAGACAGTATTTTGAGGGTGGGGAAGGCCATTTTACAATTACGTTAGTCTATTAGTATAATGAAGGTGTTTCATGCTGTAAAGTAAATCTACGTGTGAAGCGTTGTCTGCAACTATTGTTAACCCTCAGCATGCATGCGCAGAAAGGGTTACAGTACTTGGTCTGTGTGTTTATGTTTTTTACCAGCTTTTCTGGCACTACAGGCTATGAGGAGCGATACCAATGGCTTCGAAACTACAAGAGCCTGAAAATACAAAACAGAGTGTTTTTCCTGAAACGACTGCATTCGGGAAATATGGCGCGAAAACAAGCGAAAAAGTCAATGTGCATAATCGCACTGGGCTCATGTACCTCAACCAGATCTGCTCGCTCTGCATACCTTAAAGAAGTCACAACAAATGGCGTGTATCAACTCCTGCATGCTATCTACTAATGTAGCTAGCCCGTGTTCAGACTCTCTGTGAGCTACTAGCTGGAGACCAGGAGTAAACGCATACTGATAGCCCCAGCTCATCAATTAGCGGTACCGCGCATGCGCAATGCGCCGAGGCTAGTGCTTATCATTAATATGGTCATGCTTTTGTTAATACTCATTAATCCACTGAAATTGTAATTAGCTTTTGCTCGCATTGCGTTTAGATTGTATAGTTTGGCACAGAAGAGTGTAAGGACGGTTCGTGTGACGAGGATTGGTCAATACAGTAGTGACCACGATTCACATTCCCCTAGATAATAGTGTTTGAATGTGCCCTATCCCCATGTTTTGCTGTGTACCAGGGTAAACATGGTGTGACAGAGAGTCTCCAGTTGATGGCAGGGCTGGTGAGCATACTGCAACACCAGTCTCTGCCCAACATGCCGCTGCATGTCCATGATGTTCTGCTCACCCTCCACCGACCTGACAACATAGAGCTGTGGGACCCGCATGACTCCCTCTCTGCCTTCTGGGAGATCAGCAACCAGGTCTGGTGCACATACTTGTATTCTTAGCTCAGCTTCACTGTCAATGAAAACCACAACAGGTGACGTATTCCATAGCACTGAAGCTGTTTGGCCGTAAGACAAGCAACCCCATCCAGTTGCTTGGTCTTCTGAAGCAGATCCTGCAGTATCGTACTCACTTCCTCAAGAAGCGCAGCAGTGAGGCCATGCAGAGCTCATCCAGCAAGATTGCTCCCCAGATGTACACCATGCTCGAGACAGTGCTCCTCCTCTTTATCAGAAACACTAACGTGGAGGCTGTTACAATTGCAATGTCCTGTTTCAAGTACTTGGTACTGGAGGCTGAGCTCGTAATGAACCCCATGGAGCCCTCGGTTGTAACGTACTGCCCCAACCTCTTGGCCTACCAGCAGCTGGACCAGGCCAGCAGTGAGCCGCAGATCGGTCGGGCCTCTCAGCAGAAGAAGGTGCGCTCAATTCTTCGTGAGCTCGTCCACACTCCCGGCTCTGCCCTTGCATGGGAGGACACTTACTCATCGTGGAGAGTGACCAAGTCCATTCTTCTGGCCTACCAGAAGGAAGAGGCAACCAACCCACCTGATCTTCTCCGTTTCTCAACTGAGTCCTTCCCACGTCAGATCATGCGGCGAGTCAACACGCTGGCCCAGTCCTCGGCTCTTGGGACCGGGGGTAGCAGGGAGCAGGTGAGTGTGAGGGAGGGGGAGGACATTACCAGCAGCCTCCAGAGCTGGACCAACATGACTGGGTTTCTCTGCTCTCTTGCCGGCGTTTCCACCAAGCCTTCCAGTGGCTACTCTTTCCTCCTCATGTCCACCAGCAACTCTTCAATCAACTCTATGGATGGCGAGGTTAACCCTCCAACAGTGCATCGAAACACTGGAACGTCGGTTGCCCCCACAATTAAAGACCCTAATCACCGAGTGCGGCGCAGCAGCAGTTACCACGGCGGACGTCCAAAGAGTGTTGTTAATGTTAGTCCGGCTCGCACCAGTGCACTAGAGAGCAGCTGTGTCGTCCATCCGTCGGCTCGGCTAAGTGGAGAGGGCATGCTGGAGGACCCAAGTGGCACGCGCACCTCCCAAACGGAGACTTTCATCTCCGAGTTGATTTTCCTCCTCTCCTGCCACAACGAGGCTATAGGTGTCAACATTCGTGAAACAGTGAAAGAGCTTGTGAGTTTTGAGCTTAGTCCGCCCGTCTATCCCTACCTGTTCCGGTGCATGGTGGTGGAGACATCTGGGATCTTCAGCGACGGGAGGCTGGTTATCCAGGAGAGACACACTGCTCTCATTGACCAGCTGGTGTCCATTGTCCACCATATCCTGGAGAGCAGAACAGAGGACGCCCTGGAGCATCTGGCGCATGTCAAGATGGACGACCTCATCATGAATTTTATCATGTATGTAATGCGAACAGCTGGGCCACTTCACCACCTATTTTAGTTAGGTTTTGTTGGTGGTTAATGTTTCATTATGCATTTCCATCTGTAGATATGTGAATAGTCTGGACAGCACTACCAGATCCCTGACCATCAGTGTGAAACTCTGTCATCTGATTGAAACGGTGAGTAGTGACTTAATTTTTATTTCTCACGTAGGCCCAGATTCCTTTTTGCTTTAGTATTGAAGTGAGCTTCATAGACAGTGTGTTTTTTCCCTGTACAGCTGATGCAGCACAGTCGTGACCTGTCCTTCAGACAAGAGGTTCAGTTTCGAAACCAGGTGGCTGAGCACCTTACAGGCTGGGTGAAAGGTCAAGTATGCCTAAGTGCATCAAGTACAAGTCACATGGAGAACGTTCAGAAGTGAGATAACTATTAGTAGGTGTATGTGTGCTAAATTCCCCTAATACCATGCACAACTCTTCGCATCCACTATCATTGCACTATGGATTAACTGCAATGTTGCACATGATGTGGATACACTCCTGACACAAATTAAAACTGTATGATTTTTCTCTATGACGTGCATGGTCCGAAAAAAAGCAGGCGCCATGTCGCCAAATGTGACTAGTTTAATTCAGTTAGCGACGTATGTATTTTTAGGCTCTGGTCACCAGTGTAGGTGAGTTGCGTTCACTGCAGTGGGCCTTAGCCACTAATCTCGCACTTCGTGCAGCACCAGCAGCAGAGGTGCTTTATGTCCTCCACTCACAGGCATGGATACAAGAGTGCCATGGGTAGGTCAATCAGCGAAATACGGCATAAAATTGGGGTGGGAAATACAGAACTAAACTCAGAAGTACGCACACACTCGCCATACCATAGAAAGATTTTGGCAATCTAGTTTATGGCCCTGAATGTGACACCCCATTAATCAGCACCACTCCTGCTCGTTCCCCCAAGGGTAGTTAGGCTCTGTTTTAACTATGGGACAAAATATTATGCTAAAGCTGCGAGTACAGTATTATGCATAATGTTTGCAGTGATCTGGACCTGGGTGCAATGAAAGCTCTTGGACAGGTTCTCAACGGATTGGTCCTTCAACCCAGGGGAATGACTGGAGACATCTTTGAGCAGAAAAGCAAGCTATTTCAAAGGTGAGTGTATGTATTTATGGTATGTACGAGTAGATTGGGCAGGCTCCTGTATTTTGTGCAAAAATTTGAGTAATGGCCAGAAATTGGCTCATTTAAGAATTATCCGTGTGAACGAGATATTGGAGATTCACCAAACGGTTTTGGTAGTCGCCACATTTCTGCACTTTGCAGCCAGTCCTCAACACAGTTATTCACATATTAGAGAATTTTAGGAAAAGGGACAAATCTCTATTGTTCAATGGCTTTTGAAAAAGCATAGAGAAATGGCGAGAAGAGAGCGTCTTGGCCCAGCGAGGTTTGAAAGAAGATAGTTTACAGCATCCAAGACGATGTGGGTGTATGATGGAGTTTGGATCGCGAAATACTGCACCTTTCTGGAAGGCTAAAATTAGTTTTCTCTTTCGTTCCTGAATTGAATAGCTTCTAGGTGGATAATAGCACTATAGACTCAACTTCATTATAGTCAAATACCCCTGAATAGGGCTGAGCAATTTACTTTGTTTTATTGCATGGCTGTGACCTTTATGATAAACCACGGGATGCACTTGACACTTCATTACATATACACCCATTCAGGTGCTGGACTGAAATGTTTCTCTTTTTTAATCAGGCGCAGCATCGTTTTAAGTAGATGGTTCAGTGGAGGCTTAACTCTCTGAAGAGTGGTTCTGATGCTTATTCCTCCAACCCCACTTCTTTGTTGTTAACCCTCGGTGCGCATGCACTGCGAGAGTTACGGTACTTGGTCCGTTTGTCTGTCTGTCTGTCTGTTACCACATTTTCTGCCACCACGTGCAATGACACAACGAAAGAGCGACACCAAAAGATTCAGTGCTACACCGGCTTGATTTTAAATTTGCCGATTTTTTGTAAAAGTACTGCATTCAAGAGTTATGGCGTGAAAACCAAGTGAAAAATCCATTATGCAAATTAGCACAAGCCTACCTCGACCGGTTTCGCTCGCTCTGTGTATCTTGAAGTCACAATGAAGGGCTTGTATCGACCCCAGCAAGCTATCAACTACTTTCGCTAGCCCGTGTCAGACTCTCCACGAGCTACTAGCTGGAGACCACGAGTAAACGTGTAGCTAATAGCTCAGCAGGGCCTGTCAATTAGCGGTAAGTACCAGTTCGCTGAGGGTTTGCGCTTTAGTGCTTTTCATTCACTTTAGAGATCGTTAACAGTCACATGTCAGACACTTGTTCTACTGCCACTGCTCAAATCCCACCTGGTAGTGGTTCAGTACATGCAACAGTGTCTGCATTTTCTTGTATCCTTTGCTTCCCTTCTCCACACGACACACATTGCCATTGAGAGTCATCTTACTTAGTCTCCATTCTGAATCCTATGTCACCGCTAGGATTCCTATCTAGCTAGAGTGTATCATGGTCAGACATATGACCTGTATAGCTGTGAACATTGTACATGTATGTCGCTCCCTTCTATGACTCCGTTCTCACACTGGACCTTTGTGGAGATAGAGTATGATACAAGAACTAGGGAGACAATGCTGGTCATCATCTTCCAATAGAGTATGGATAGTAAAAATTGGTCGGTTAACTATCATGCGCTGGTGAGAAGTTAGTGAGAAAGTGAGCTGAAGATGCCTCCAGGTACTTGTTAACCCAGGAGACGGAAAGATAGCCATGTCTTAGACCACATGCTGGTCTTACTGGAGGAGTGTGTTATATGTGTCTATGATATCTAAAGTTTTTGAGTCTTCCACAGGCTCTATACTACAGTGTAGGAGCACATTGTACATAGCCTTGCTTGCTCAATGTTATTGGTGCATTTGTGCTGCACTGCCTCCGAAAGATGTTTGAAAACATGTCAGCTCTAGGAGACAAAGTTCAGTAGCCCACCAGACATCACATGGCCTCAAAGTGTTGGGTACAATATGTTGCCATAGAGAGTGTAAGCCAAGGTAAATGGTAATGTTCGCTGCGTGGACTGTGGTGATCGATACAGTTTTCTTTGAAACACAGCTGTTGACTTGTTAACCATGGTGATAGGGGGGCCAGGTGAACCTACCCTATTCCTCACCTTTGCCACCAAGAAAGATCTGCCTGCATGTTCTGGTGCAGGTGCACCGAATGATCCGGGTCTGAGACCGTTTAACTGTCACATAGATCAAGCTCCTGAGAAGTCCCTGTAGCTGGATGGTCTTCAATTAGTAGTAGGCCGATTAGTGACAGGAGCTAGTAGAAATTCTTCCGTGGTGATTTGTACATGGCATCCTTCATCCATTCACAAATGGTCATGTACATAGCTTTCCCAGCTTCTCCTGTGAGGGAGACCCTGACTGTATCAATCTCTATGGCTAGAGAAACCTTCACCTGATAAATCACCCCCTAATTGAGTTTACCACTCCTCCCAAATACCTCCAGAATATCACTCCTTCTGAATCTCTCCCTCTCTCTCTCTCCCTCCCCTCCCTCCTTCCCTCAGTATATGAATTGTGTGTGTGTATGTATACATGCATATGTGCTTGTGTAATGTGTCCATGAGTTTGTGTGTTTGTGTCTCTATGTGAAGGTTTACTGTCTATATATCGCAGTTAGTAGAGATTTTGGCCTTTGCCTTGTTTTTTATTGTGTTGTAGATTAAGCCCTGCCTGCTGAGCTGATAGCTTATTGTGGGTACAGCGTTCTGCCTAGACTGCAGAGTTTCGTGCATTCGAATCCATTTCAACCAGCTTAGCTCTGAAAGAAAGATTTTTCCTCGGTTTCGTTGACTTGCCTTGGTACCTCGTGGATATTTTTGTACATGTATTTTAACTTGCTCAGCTACTAGTTTGTCAAACCTTTTTACTCAGATACTTCACGAAGTTCATGGACCTGATCCATTCCCTGAACCACGTTGACTGGTCTGTCCTGAGTCCTATCCATACCCACTCTCTGCAGAGACATGTGGCCCAGCTCAAGGAGGCAACCATTTGTGCCATGGCCCACATGCTCACAGCCAACATTGATAGCGGCCTTACTCATGCCATTGGTAGGTTGGGCATGATATAGTGTATGTTTGATACCATGACAGAGCTAATGTTCCTGTGACACTATACATGTAGGTCTAGGATACCATGAGGACTTGAGGACTAGGACAAGCTTCATTGAAGTGCTCACCTCAATCCTGAAGGAAGGAGCCCAGTTTAGCTCCTTGGCAGAAACAGCTCTTGCTGATAGACTTAATCAGATGTTGGATCTGGTCACAACGGAGACTGCTGATGGGGATCTCCCTCTCGTTATGGCCTTGATTGACTCTGTACCTCCAGAGAATGTTGTAAGTGCTGAGTATCATCAACCACCATAAATTTTGCACTGTACTTATATGTGCATGTAAACAAATTAATCTATTAGTAACATGTTCCATGAATGTCTAGGGTGTGTCCTAAACACTTAGATCTTTGGGTCCTTTCCTCCTCTTCATGGAGGTAATGGTATGCACTACCTAAGTATGGCTAATTTTCGTAGTTCCATGCTTGTTGAGGATGTAATTGAATGTTCAAGGGATTAGTACTTGTCGCATTTCCCATGCATGAAAAACCAACTCTCTCCATCAACCAACCAAGGTGAGGTACATTGCAGGCTTTGAGTGGAACTTCCAGCCTCGTGGAAGTAGGCAGATTGGGTCTTGGAATTAGGTACTTGATGATCTTTTGGTTTGGAAGACGCTCTTGGACCACCTTCAAAGGGGGAGCGTTTCTTTTCTTGTCATTGTCTATTGATCAGAGGGAGAGTAAAGGGTTTGAAGAGGAGCTGAATAGCAAGGTAAAGCACAGGGTGTTCAAAAACGTTATTAGCATTGGGCTGCATTGGGCCAGTGACCATAGGGTCTAGATTAAAGTTCAAGCTTAGATCAGGAATGCATGGGTTGAATGAGCAGTTGTGGACACAGAGGAAGGGGACTGAGTAAGCAGAACGCTGGGAATTGGAGCTACAACAGTCTTGTAGAGGATATTGTAACCCACAGGTTTTTCATCGTATTTCTTGCATCAAATTCTGCCGTGAGCAAGCACCAATGAAAGAGAAATACATACTTCATTTAACTCTATTCACTGATAGATTTTAGTATCAATGCCCTTTGGACTTATGTACCACTGTGTTCGACACAGTATGGCAATTACTTACTACTGACAGGATCCCGGTCGGTGCTGGTCGTGGCACGATACGACATCGGTATGTATGGCTGATGTGACTGTCACAGTACACGTGCCATGGCTGCTATCGAAATGCCACCCAGATCACGTGATTGGCATTACTGCCCTACTTCTTTGGTTTTGGGAGGAGCCAAGACTGTAGTTGGGTACTCCCCCAAAACCATTATTAGGGATGTACACATACGAGGAGGTAGGGCAGAATATAAGTGAAACGAGGGACAGAACAGGTGACACTCAAAGTTGAGTCCCGGCAGAGACGAGCAGCATAGGCGAGTATCCTGCAGGGTGAGTTGGCATGAAATGCCCACCAGTTGATCTCGTGGTTTCCTGATGTACTGCAAGAAAGCAGCACTCTGCCAGTGGCCAAAGGCCTAAATCATTGAATCCTCCGCTCCTGCCATGGCCGCACTGTGGTGGCAGCACCAATCCTGAAACTGTGGCTGGCATACCTTGGGGGAGATGGCAATGGATCCCCTGAGCTGACCAATGAACCAGGACTTAGGTGCCATGACCAATCAGAAAGAATGCTCCAGGATGATGTTGGTAAAAGTCTGATATAGTCCAGGATAAGGCAGGGTGGTGTAACCGTGCGGCCAACGATGATGTCCACCCCCTTGCTATAATGATCACATTTAGGGAGCGTCGAAAATAGATTTTGACCGTGTATTGGGATGTCTTTCTACATCTCCCCAGGATAGGCCAGTGGTCAGGCTGATGTGTCTTGGCGACACAACTAGTAATTCCCCCAAACGAAAAAAGCTGTGGCCGCCATGGCCCATACAAGGGTGCTTCTAGTCCTGGGACCTGAGACAGTGTGTTGTTGATCCGGGCGGGACAGTTATTGGAAATCTTGTCCTTGGTGTAATGCCCCTAGCCTAATGTGTCCATCTGATGCCTGCGAGGACCCTCTACAGAACAGGAAGTGACGACTGGTCTCGAGGGTCTAGGAGGCCAAGGGACAATTGCAGGTTTCGCTCCCGCTGACAGGTATGACTTGGCTGTCTGTGGAGCCAGGCCCTCGTCCGCGAGAAATGCAGCAAAGCACAGCAGTGTGTTCAGAAACGGGAATGAGGAGATAAAATTTTGTACAAGAACTGTACAAAAATTTTACTTCTGAACTGTAATGATGCCTGAGGACCTTGGAAAGGAAAAAGACAATGCGATCACGGGACAGGTCATCCGCCAGATGGTTGGCATGTGTATCTATAGTGGGGAACGAGGTGAAAATTGTAGTAGGCCTCAATAAAAACCAGGTTATGCAACAAATGGTCCTCCTCGAGGCACAAGGAGTAGAGGGCCTCATTGTAGAGGCGAGCATTAGGCACCGACCAGTTGGGGTTCTTCTGTGCCAAAGCCTCCCTCCGGTAGCACCTGTCATCGGACACCCACCTCCAATCGTGAAAGTTTATCTCTATCTGAACAATCAATGCCTAGTAGGCGAACAATTCTGGGGCCTTCTCCGGAAATCTCGATGCAATGAGGGCGGCCATTACTGAGAACTTCTAAATCATGACTGAGATGTTTTGGATGGAGTTGAGAGGGGGGTTGTCCTGGGATGTGGGGAGGCAGGTCGTCCAGGGAGATGGTCCGACATCTCCACGAACTCCAGGTCTAAAAATTTTCTTCCCAACCTTCGTGAGGAGGACAGAGGCTGGATTGTATGAGGATGGAACCTTCCTTTCCTCAACCGTGCCTCACCGGCTGCTGCTGCGAGGAGGTTAACGCCTGTGTCCCCAGAGGGCGAAAATGTCGGATGAGAAAAAGCACTGCGATGAAGACTGTTTATGTTGTGACAAGCCCTTGCAGGGCATACAAGAAGAGAATCCGTGTAGAAGAAAAAGAGAGCAGCTATTAATCACAGAAGCCCCTGCGGGGTTCCAGCGGGCCGGGTAGGGCCGTTACGTTGGCCAGTGAGGATCTTGGTAACGACAAGAAAACCCCACGACGTAAGGCTTCGACAGAACCTTAGGAGGGACAGTGTTGCGACCTAAGCCCATGTGGAGCGGGGAATGGGACAGTCCAGTCAGAGCTGGCAGGCAGTCGGAGCACGCACCACAGGACCGCGTCAGGCATTCCCAGCATACTGGGCCACTCTACCATGCACACTAACTTCTAACCCGTAGATAACACATACCTGAAGAGCCAGAGCCGGACGCAGGCTAGCAGCCCTGGTTAATCCGTTGCCGTTGGCGGGTCGCTCCGCTGGACTTCCACAGGCTCGCCGTCAGCCGTGACGGCAGGCGGCGGCAGTGCCACACCACAGGCCCAGAGGAGTGAATGAAGACGCCATCCACATCTGCGAAAAAACTTGACAACAACAGCTGCCTGCACCGCTGAACTGAATGCTCTCTGAGTGAAACTGCACTGCAGAGCTGGTTTCCCTGCAACCATCGCGCGCAGGTTTTCGCGCCTATTGCTATGGAATGTTGCCTCTGGCGTCTGTCCACACTTCATCTTAATCTCGCATCTTGCGCTATGAATCGCCCAAAAATGCTAACGTATTGGGTATGAAAATTAAGCCCATGTTCTCTAAAACTGCTTACCTGAAAAGTTATAGCACATTTAAGACATGGATCGGAAGTATAGCATTACTGTGTACAAATCCATAGCTCCCTGCCGCTTTCTTGCTTACTCAAGGTTGGGGCAATATTGTATAGGAGACTCTTGTTGTGGAGTATGACAGTCGGAGGGAGACTTAATGCCTGTGGTCACCTCTCACTGAGCTACATATGTAACATGTATATACTGTATGTACATTTGTAGAGAATGTGGTTACTTCCCTTCTTGAGCTGACTATAGATCTTCTTTCTATACTTATGAATAGGCTTTGGGTAAACATAACCCTCAGTGATGAACTGAACTTGGCAGGACCCTTCTTTCTCATGGGGCACTCATGTAGTGTGTCAGTACTTTGAAAGGAGTTTGCACCACTTCTGCTTGCCTTGTTGATGGAGGAGGGCTTGTCAAAGCCGCACAGGTATTGACATTGTGCATGCGTGTGTTTGAGTCAGGTTACTACGACATGAAGCATTTGGCAAGGGATCAAGATCTAGCCTGCTAATCTTATTGCTGTCATGTGGGAGATGGATCATTAACTTGACTACTGGGGTGGGAGAAGCATTATAATTATGACGGACTGTGTAGAACACGCACTCCTCTCTTTTGACCATACTAAATGGCGAATTAAAAAAGCGTGGAATATAGGGATGCCTTTAAAAGCAAGGAGACAAGACAGGGATGACCTAGTGTATGTGAAGTGTTAGTACAATGAGACGATGGTTACATCTTCAAACTGACATTGCTTGCTCGTGTAAAGTTTCCTCCACACAAGCACTATATTGTCGCGAAGCACAAGTAAGCTCCTCATAGAAGGACTCGTTTCCTAAGCACGTAATTCACAGGTGTTACCCTCTCTGACAACTACTCGGTTTTGGTTGTGATTGCATTGGGCCTCCAGAGAATCCTTTACTGTTGTCCTCCACAAATTCATGCTGTGAGTCAAAGTGGCGACAATATAGGGCTTGTATGGAGGAACTTTTACACGAGCAAGCAATGTCAGTTTGAAGATGTAACCATCATCCCATTGTACTAACGCATCACCATGTGGCAATGGGCCGGCCCATTATGCACATGCATATACGTACTGCACATCAACGTGTGGACGCATTCATTTTGCACTGAGGATTTGCACTTTAATGTTTTTGGAACTGTATTCTTACTTTGATTAATTTTTCACTTTAAGGATGAACTAGCTGAGGTTCTCGTGACTCTATTTGACTCCAAACACAAGCTTGCTCCATTTCTCATTTCCATTCTTAACACAGAGGTACGTGATAGAATTTGTATTGTGTATGTACATGCATGGCAAGGCTTGCAATTGAATTACTCTCTGTAGATGGATGATGCCGAAAGTGGACGTGTGGACACTTTGTTCCGTGGCAACACCATAGCCTGCAAGGTCCTCTCCAGCTCCTTCAAGACCTTTGGTCTCTACTACCTCCAGTCCGTGGTGAGACCGCTCATCCTCCAACTACTAAAGATGGGTGACAAAGACTTCGAGGTGGACCCGGCCAGAATGAGTGACACGTCCAGGCTGACAGAGAACCAGGCTAACCTCCTGGACCTGGTGCAGACATTCTGCAGCACCATCATCAGTTCTCTCCCCAGTGTCCCCCTCCAGCTGAGAACTGTCTGCCACACCCTCTACTCTGTAAGTGAGTGTTAGTATGAACATTTTTCTGAGAAACTAAGTTGTCTTTGCAAACAGGAAATTGTTACATAGCTTGGCCTTGTGGTATTCAGAATGTATTCATGGTTCAATAAATTGTTTCTGAGAAGCTGCTGTTGTTTGTAATGACAGAAGAGGTCATGGTATTTCAGAGAAAATGTACATTTTAGCACACACTTAACAGTTTGACGTCATTTATTGACCCCAAGGTTGTGGCTGAGCATTATCCTGACGGGAGTCTGGACACAGTCAGTAGTGCGCTGTTCCTGAGGTTCATCAACCCAGCCATAGTGTCTCCTCAGAGCTACAACCTGGTCCAGGGGGACATCCCCAATGGCGCCAGGAGAGGCCTCACCTTCATTTCAAAAGTATGCATACATTGCCATCACGTGTACAGTTTAAAACTGACATGTGCATCGTAGTTGATGCAGTATTAATAACCTACTTGGTATTGTGTAGGTGCTGCAGAATCTTGCTAATCACATTGAGTTCAAGAAGGAGGCTCACATGCAAGTTTTCAACCAGTTTCTGCGGGATAACTTTGAACGCACCAGAAACCATGCGCTCCACCTGTCAGCCATGGGACCGTTCAAGGACGGAGAAGCTGTGGAGTACATCAGTTTCTTGAAGGAGAGTCTGAAACATAGACTCCACTCCCTGCTCTGGAGTCACCAAGACCAGATGGCTGCCTACGCTGCCTCCACGAGGACCAGTGTGTCCGCCAGACAGCCATTCCACCAGCTGAACACACTACTGGCTCAACTCGGAGCCCCCAACTACCGCAGGAAGAGAACCAGCTACACTATCAAGAGAAGGTGAGTCAGAGTAACCTGGAACCCACAATTGGACATGTTAACCAATGTGTAGGAGTACGATGGTGAGCAGTCAGCTGGAGGCGTTTCTAGAAACTATGGCAGGAGAATGTGATGAAAAAGCCCTGCGTGCAATCAAAGCCAGTGATATTTTCTATTCGGTAAGTAATGGACGTCTGTGCACATTATTTAGCACAGTGTTTCACAAGCTACTACTTTAATGTTGCAGGGTGGAGTGTCAAAACTTGGAAATCCCGTGTTTTACTTCATCGCAAGGAAATTCAGGTGCCAGGAGATGCTTTTTTTATGTGTGCATCAACATCTTGTATAAAACAATGCAGGGGTGACCAGATAAGCTTTTCTCATCAAATGCTGTATCACATAATGACATTGCTGAAGAGCTGTACAGATAAATCATTTGAAATAGTCATCGACCTGACACAGGCTACACAGATCAACGAACCAGACGTGAGTTCTCTTGCACTGCTGTATGTACGTACGTATGATACATGTTTTCCATTTGTGAACATACATACGTTGCCTGAACTCCCAATTGCAGTTGGAATTGCTGGTAAAGTTTGCTGCCTATGTTCCTGAGCTTGTCATGTCTCAGATTGAGGCTGTCTACATCTACAACACCAACCTGGCCTTCAGGAACTATGCCCACAAACTCTCCTCTGCAATACGCATCTTCTCACATATCAAGGTATGCAGCAGAGATACATGTATGTTTAAGTCCCCTACTTCATCTTTTCAAACCTCACAGCATGGCATATAAATTACTGACCTCTTTGATTTATTCAGGGTGCTAAACGTGTTATGCTTGTGGATACATTGAGCCAGTTTTCCTCTCACATTGACATCAGTGAGCTGAAGCTTTCTTCGGGGACCATGGTGTTTGAGGAAGAAGAGGGGAAGGTTTGTATGTACATTGTAAAACACAATGTGTGTTTTTGCTACGAGACTTGCGTAGTGAACAAGTGTTGACAATATGTTTGTCAGCTGTTACTTATGGTCGGTGTATTAACAAATTTTACTCGCAGGTTGAGTTCAATCAAGCACATTTCTTGGTGACTAAGGCAAAGACGTTGATGGTGTTGCAAGTCCCATCACGACTTCAAGTGTGTCCTCACGGCCTAGTGGTGCACATGACTGAGAAGATGAAGGTGTTTGAGTCGTTGGTGTTGATCAAGGAGATTTACCACATATCTGACATCAGAGAGGTTGGGCATTGTTGCATGCATTGGGCAAGGGGCCGATATGGGGCAAAAAGTGTGGTCGTGTGATTAAGTTGCTATATACCTTTATGACAAATGCAAAAACTACTTCCCAAGTAACCACTGTCATGGCAAACGAATCACTGGACAGACCAAGACACAGTAGGTACATACCCTGACACCAATTAAAGTTAGCTCTAGTAAACATGTCTGCTATGGGTGCAGAGTAGAGGATCTCGTGCAATTCTTAAGATTATCTCTTGACTTGACGAGGGGTCCTGTCTTAGCGGCTTACTGATAGAGCTAGTTTACTGTATAATATTCCTTTAATGTGCTCCAAACCACCCACAGACATCAAAAGCCTGTTTTTTGTTTATGAATCTGCACTGTGTGTGGTCCCACATTGCAGGAGTTCCTCTGTCATCAGTTTCACTTGTGAATTGACTACTAGCTTCTTAGCATTGTTCTGCAATGTGGCCCAATGGAGCAAGTTGGCCTGCATCTTACCACTAAAATAACAAATGTACTGGTGAACCTAAAGCCTCTTTATAATTCTAGGTTTATAGTGAGGATAAAGAGAGTCTGACAGTGCGTCTTGTGGAGGGCAGCCACCCTCTCAAGTTCACAGTCAACAAAGTAGAGGAGGTGGTGAAGGCAATTGGCACTGTGATCAGCAGATGGCAAAATCAACAGCCAGTAAGAAAGTTTTTTTTTCTTTTTACTACATATAAAGAGCAAGGGAGAATAATTATGGCGGTTACAAATGCAAATTCTGTAAAGAAATTAAGGGATTGCTGGTCCCGCAAAATGAATGCACCCACCCAAAACATTTTCATGAAAAAATGGCTCATTAACCATGAATTTGTCCTATATTATTTGCTGAGTGATTTTGTACTTCATTCTGCCGAATTTCAGTAAAGTTGAAAGTTCGAAGAAAGCTGAACTTATGGTGCTTGCATGTGTTTGGAGACTTACGGTCTTACTTGACGCCGCCGCTCCTATTAATATTAGTAAGAAGGGGTCCACTTTAATTCCCACAATGATTGTCAACATTTTGACCAAGAGTAAGGTATGCACACTGATATGGCACTATATATTAAGAGAGTAAGGCTTGTTCCGTAAGGCTTGCCCAGCATCTAGTGCAATACACACCTGTTTAATACCCTTGTTTTCAATTATCCCTTTGGAGGCCATGTGTATCTCCGTACATAAGCAGAAAATCATGCATAAAGTATAAGCGTCTATAGTTTTATATCCCCTATATAAGTTCATATAGACTTAGGGAAGCTCTGGGCACATTTATGGGTTGGTTCTTCATTAAGACTAAGTTTTTAGTAACGACATCTGCTGGTCAGCATTTTCCATTGTTCTTCGCTCGTAACCGTTCATAATGTTGCCATATCTATGCATTGGATAACCATTATTTCGTTACTCAAGCTTAAATGAAAAGCACTGAAGTGCAAACCGTCGGCGCACTGTGACGTGCACGCGTAAGTAAACGCATGCGCCGTACCACTAATTGCTGGGCTGGGTTTAGTTTTAGTCGTGGTCTCTTCCCAGCTCCCGCAGAGTCTGACGCGGGCTAACTACACTGCTAGATAGCATGCGAGAGGCGATTCAGGCCCTGCGTTGCATCTTCTGGTGCCTCCGAGGTACGCAGAGCACGCGGGTCGACCATGCCGTAGTAAGCCGTTGTTCATTTGCATATTGGCTTTTTCGCGCTCTAGCTTTGCAACGGAGCGTTTTCAGAGAAAACCGTTCGAAATATCTGACCTTCATTGCCCGTTCAGTAGGTGGTATCCTTTTTGAGACGAACGAACACTCGAGAAGTGAGATTGAGAGTAACAGACAGACAGACACACAGACAGACAAACAAACCCAACTACAGTAACCCTCGCTGCGCATGCGCGCCGAGGGTTAATGAAGTAACATGGCATTTATGTGTCCGCTGCTGGTTGAGTGTTGAAATGCCCCCTTGCACTCATTTTATGAAGGTTGCAGCTCTCACCGGCCCCAGGTACCTTTTGTTATGTTACGTGGACAAGTATTAATGCCCTCAATTGTGGCCCCTATAACGGTCATGCACTCTGCTTTGTACACAATTGAGTTAATGGTCATCATAGCTTCCACGAACAAAGCTAAATTCAAAAGGTTAAACCATACATACATAATTATGTGTACTGTCCATGTTTTGTTAGCTACTTGTACAAGGTGGATTAACTGTTACTGGACCTGAGTCTCTCATAACCTCTTCGGTGCATGATTTCCATGCACGGAAACTTCCAATTACGCTGTTGTAGTTTCTTGTAGATAAATCTGCATGACAATAGACCTCCAACTGTTGGCAGATAGAAAATGATGATAGCGAGTAGGAGAGCATTTATCACTGAAAGTCCAACTTGTAGTTTAACGGGTTTCAGAAATGTCAGAGGTGCAAGAGTAGTGTAGAGGAGTGCTGTAGTTGTGAGTAGTACTGCATCTACAATAGAGTGTCTATAGTTCCTGTACGGCTGAATCAAGGCCACACTGAGTGCCACAGTTGCAATTATGGCAGTCGTGTAAGCAAAGCTGACGGTCTCATATGTTAATGCAATGGACATGTACACGAAGATTCTGAGAAGAAGGTAAACTGCTGAAAAATATCGACAATCACGGCCTTCAATTCTGAAGTGTCCCTGGAAGGAGTCCATGAAGATGTGTAGGGAGTGGCAGCTGAGGCCTGTGCGGTTGAGACAGACCTGGAAACAGGAGCAGGGGTAGAGGAACAGGAGGGCCATCGGGAGGAGTGTGAAGGTGAGGAGAAAGAAGAGGGCCAGACAGGCATAGGGCAGGTGGTGGCTGCTAAAGTAGGTCACATCTCCCTGGTTGTATACATAGAACTGCTGCAACTGGTCACCATTTTGGTCATAGAGCACTACTGGTAACAACAGTTCCACAGACACACTGAGAATTTTGACGTAGGAGAGGAGGAGGAAAGTTGCAAAGGCATCTACTAATGAGGTTCTGATGTTCCACTGTCTGCGAAACCTGATGAAGAGGAACACAAAAGGTTTGCAGATGAAGACCACAAGACGAACATTGTGATCATAGAGCAGGACCAGGAGGTAAGAGAGGCCAATCAGTAGGAGAGGGTAGACAGCAATAAGGTAGTCTAGAGCCAAGACTTGGAGTGTGTTGGTGTGAGGATGGAAACAGAATGGAGAGTAGACCAACCGAAAGAAATCAAGATTCCAAACAGCTAGCCCCGTTATGACGACATGTGTAAATAGTGTCTGCTTTTGAATTGCTCTCATATTATTTGGACACAGTATAATTTGTGTACAGAGTATGTATGCCTGGAGCATAGGAGAAGTTGCACTGATTCTAAAGATGACGACAAAAGCGAAGAAGGCAGTGAGTGGGAGAAGAGAGACCGCAGTGTACTTGCCCCAGTTGCTAGTGGTACAGTTGACACAGGAGAGAGAGTAGGAATAGACTGGTGGAGCAGAGCCTGGCTTACACTGACCACACATCTGACCTTTTCGTCTGTATCTGGCACACATGAACTCATCCACGTTTCCCTTCTGTACTGGGAAGTAGTATACATATCCGTTTTCTAACCTCCAACATGTGTATGGACAAGCACCAATCACAGTGTTGTTCCTTATACTCTTTGTCATGCAGTAGCAGCTCAGGACTTTTAAACTGTATGGTTGTGTCCTGCACATAACCGTGTCGTCAATATTAGCACCGCAAGCACACTCACCGGCACTGTTTCTCTGTTGCCAAGTGGGACATTGACTTTCATTCAGTTGCGTTTCCGTCTGAATTGAACTTTGATACACGCCATGTACCAGCTGGACTACAGCGAAGAGTATACACACTGCTAACGTAGCAAAAGCCATCTTTAAGACAGCGCCTTCTACAGGCTTTTTGTGAGCAACATTCTGTCACTTTTCGTATTTATGCACATGTGCTCTTGTTTTCCCCCACAATTCATAATATAAAATACACACGTGCACATAAATATTATGTTTCAGTCTGGTCATGTGCAGGTGTACCAAGTGCACATCTTTCACAAGTCATTGTGAAAATTCTTCAGTCATGCGTAGGTTTCCATGCGAATTGTCACTCTGGCTATATTATGGAAGAAGTCAGAGAGACCTTATAATACACTACTTAATTCAGTAACCTCACATCAGAGGTCAGATAGTGATGATGCACTGCTTTCTGCCAATGAAGTGGAGATAAACATTTTTCACTAGAATTGAGAGTCAAACAAGTTGTGAAATTGGACGACTCCTAGCCCATCAGGAGTCCTACGTAATCATCATTGTGAATGGCTCTGAACAAACTTATGATTATAGATCCCAACTGTTCTATTGTGTGTCTCCAATACTCTAACATTTTTTCTGCTGACTTTCAGAGCCGCTATATGTCTGAGCGAAAGCTTGAACCTAAAGATGTTCCTGGCACCTTTCTTAACCTTGTAAGCCAATAATTAAGCTAGTATACAACTCATTTTGATGTGTAATGTTATCCTTCTCTCTGGCAGGCACTGCTAAACCTTGGCAGTACTGATGCTGACTTGAGGGTAGCTGCCTATAAGCTACTGTCGGGAGTCAAGCAGGCCTTCCACCTCAGAATCAGCTACCAGCTTGAGTCTTCACATGGTACGTATTCTACACTATACACATTTGCTTGGCGTCAGAAAGCCCTTGTTCTGAGGAAACCTTCCTATCACTGTGGAGAGGCTTTTTACTCTTGAACCTGAGCCTTGTGACGCATCCACTACTACTACTCGTAGCAATATGATATGCTAACTTTTATTTCATGGGATAGCTGCGTACATTTTTTTATCATATGAGCTAATTTTTTGGCCTTTTTGTAAGCAATGGCTAAACTGTTATGCGTAGTGTCAGAAATCTCTGGATGCCGCTATGCCATAGTAAAACAAGCAAGAGCTGGGGATCACAATTCATTCCCAAACAACATGTGTCTGGATTTCGGTCATCCCTGTAGCCTTTTATTACTCTGTGTTCACAGTACATATTTTGACAAAATACCATTAAAATCACCAAAACTTGATTTCCACTGTTATGAATTTGTAACAACCTCCTTTCAGATCTGTGTGTGCCCATGAACACTGCACCGTTTGTGATGACAGTGAGCAGGGAGCTGGCCCAGAAGGAGCCTCACCTGACTCTGGAGTTCCTGTCAGAGGTTGTGGCCGGCTTCCAGCAGTACACTCCCGCCTTGAAACAGTTCTGCCTGGCCTACATGTCTCCCTGGCTCCCTAACCTCTCCCTCTCCCTCTTTGAGGCCACAGCCACTGACCACGAGAAGGTGAACTGCGTACTGTCTTTTGTGCAAGATGAAGCGGAATCTTTTGATAGTAAAATTAATGCAATTAATTTTGGGGAGCGAATGCCAGAATCACAACATACAGTATGCCATTGCCAAATGTTAAAGTCACGTCAGTATATAGGATATTTTGGTAAGGGTGGAGCACCGGATAAAATAAGTACAGAATGTCGTGCATTTCAGATGACTAGGTACGTATGTTCCCTCTCAAACGACCCATATTTTCAGAGGTAACTTATGGCTGTGCTTGACAAACACTGCTTTTTAGTTGTTAAACCTCGGGGCGCATGCGCAGCAAAGGTTACGGTAGTTGTCTTGTGAGTGTGTCTGTCATTCATTCAGTCTGTGTGTCTGTCTGTTACCACGTTTTCTGCGACTACACGCAACGAGACAACAAAATTGCGATACCAACTGGTTCATTGCTACACTGGCTTCATTTTGAAAAAGGTGATTTTCGTATAACTGCTGCATTCAAAATTTATGGCGTGAAAAGCAAGTGAACAAGCCAATATGCAAATTAGCACAGGCTTACCTTGACCAGGTGCGCTTGCTCTGTGCATCTTGAAGGCACAAGAAGACACGGCGAATGGCGTGTACTGACTCCCGCGTGCTATCTACTACTGTAGCTAGTCCTTGTCAGACTCTCCGCGAGCTACTAGCGGGAGACCACGAGTAAACGCATACTAAATGCCAAGCCCATCAATTAGTGGTACCGCACATGCGCAGTTCACTGAGGGTTTGCACTTTAGTGCTTTTCGTTTAATAAGCTATCTGGGCCAGCATTTACATGCTTACATGCTTTAGCACAAGTAACCAGGTTTGCTCCTAGTAAAATGAAAATGTTACGCTTATATGTGCTTTATATTTCTGTTATAATTGCAGCTGATGCGCCTGGTAGATATGCTGGTGGCTCTCTCGATCTCAGAAGATGCCATCTACCCTCTGATACAGTCCTTTGTCTGGGACAAGATAGGAGGCGAGCCCAGACTGCTCAAGAGGGTCCTCGACAGCTTCATTAGAGTGAGTGTACCATGTATTTACATACCGTAATGGAACAAAATGTTCCACTTATACAGTAGATACTACATTATACCTACACACACACACACACACACACACACACACACACACACACACGCGCGCACATGTGTTGCCCACCTTCTGTCTACAGATGAGTATCTCAGACGGACTGGGCAGCAGGAAACTGGAAGTATTAGCAGACACAGCTGTGACTTTGGAACAGAGCACAGATGGAGCGGTTACCACAGAAGTCATAAAGAAGATCCTTAAGGTAACTATCAAGTATTCTTACAGACTAGCAATAGTTTAATTTGTATTGTCGTAGACTATAGCACACACAAGTGATAAAGTGACTCAGAGTCTGGAGCAACACTTTCTGTGGTCAGAGCTGACTGTCCTGTCTCGTTTCCTCCTGGCTCTCTCTTGCAACAACCCTCGAAATGGTAGGTATGTTTGCACTGGTAAGGTTGTAGAGGAGGAAAGTAATGACATCCGGTATGCAAAGTTCAACAAAGCATATGTTTGCCTGGCTATAGTTGGAAAGAGGAGCGGTTGAGGGTGGGGAGCAGAATCACATAGTACTGAATTGTAATGTAACAAAGTGACAAGCTGGTTGCTAGGAAGAAAGATCATGCACAAACAGGCAAAATACATGAAGGGATGCATCATGCCTTCAGTTCTCGGAATGCAGTATTCTGTTTATGTACACTTATTCCATCTGTCAACTTGTTTACTGGCGGTGTAACCCCAAATTTTGAACTATTCCTGGGTGTAATGAAGCATTCACATGGGAGGACCTAGTTCGATAGTTGACATAGCGAATAACTTCCTATTCACGGGCAGAATGACTTCATATTGTGGTATCACAAATGACTTCGTATTGCGGTATCACACATTCTCTGGTACCAACTAACTAAACCTTACACTGCTGTATACAGATTGATTTCGGGCAACGCACGCCATGGTACCAATTAATTATTACCACATGGACCCCATTCAGTTAGGAGCCCATAAAATATGTATGTATATACAACATTTAGCATCCCGGGTTATGCTGTGCGTGATATTTTCCAGCTGTGAAGAACCTGACGGATGTGTTCTACCTGTGTATCATCATGATGGGAAATGGACCCTCTTTTGTGAAGGCAACAATCCATGGAATAGTCCTGAACACTGTGCAAAGCCTGGCCTCTGTCCCTGAAATCATGGCTAATGGTACATGTATATTATGTATGTCCACACATGTATTATACACACTCGTTCAATCCATTGTTTAGCTCGCTACTACTCACTGTGGTACAAAGTATGTGGTGTGTGTTTAGAGTAGGGTAGACATTGTGTCTAGTTTTTTTCATAGTTGACTTGTCTTGAACAATGTGATGTGTGTGCTTGTACGATATGCATTTCAATGGCTTTGCCTGATGTATATTTTTCGTAGAAGAGGCTACAAAGTCAGTGTCTCTGAAACTGGCTGAGATTTCAGAGCCAAAGTTCTACCACCAATTTGGTAAGGCACATTTTGTCAAGCAATAATTATACGTACAGCATGTATATATGTAAGGTGGTATTAAAAAGTCCATTAGATTTGCTTCATCCCGCCTGGTAACCTTGGCACCCCTGCAAGGCAACACAATTCCCCCCTGTACACCTCTTGCGGGTTTTTCCTGTTGTGGCTCAATTTTCATGCCCCGAGGTTGTCCCTCATTTAGACGACTCCTAATTGAGTAGTTATGTGATACCGCACATGTACTGTTCATCTTATCCCAGAAGGTTTTGCACATCTATTGTGGGTCTGTAATACATGAAACTAAACAGCTCACACTTTCACATGTAGAAAGAAGAAAATGAGGGGGGAGAGGAATTCGAAAAGGCTTAAAACCTAACCTTAACACACACCAAAGCTCAGACATTCACAACATAGGACTGTAGGACTACATGTCCAGTATTCTTAGCTGGTCAATCATTACCTGAACATCTCCAGGAATCCAGAAGCGAGCTTCTTCACTGGCCTACCAGAGGTCAGTGCAGCCAGGCCGCGGACCAGCCTTAGAGCTAGGCCACCACGGCTCTCCCAGCTCTACCTGTGTCACAGCCATCACCCAGCACCTCCTGGACCTTGTCAACGCCACCGCCCACCTCATACCTGAGTGTACCTGGATGCAACGCTGGCAGAAACTAGCCAGACGGTGCGAGTTACTATAGCTAATGCATTTACTTTTCACCATAACGTATTTTTCAGAGTGTAAGTCTGCATGGCTTGAAGATTTACTTAATGGTGACTGTTCTTGCAAATATACACCCCTGTTAACATTGTTTTATAGCCATGGCATCTGGCAGTGCTGCACACCCATGGGTATGTGCGGTACTCAAACAGTAGCCCCTATGCAACAGCCATCTTTTGCATTAATGCTGTATAAGTTGCAAACAAGTTTCCAGTAATTTCGTCATGACTTACACTGTAGATTATACCCCACTCCAGTTTGTGAGTGACTCACAATCCAGAATTCCACCTACGTAAATCTCACTCTTGCATTTACATATTAATGTACGCTATGTACATGCCTAGAATTCACTGGATATTTTCATGAATCACTAATCATAACTTTCCTTTTCTCTATCACCCCCTCCCCACACACACACACACTGCAGGACATCATTCCACTATAACCCAGCTCTCCAGACCAGGTCGTTCCTGATGCTAGGGGTCATCAGTAACAAGGCCTCACTGTCACTAGTGACTCGGACACTGCGTGTCCTGGAGGAGACACTGGGCAGACGTGAGGACGAGGTGTATCTCCTGGAGAGTATCACCATCTGTCTCACCGCTTTTCTGCCTCTGCTGGAAGAGGTAGTGAGGTCACTGCACTCTTTGGGGTGTTTTGACACAATGGTGTATTTCTCGTACTCACAATCAAGTGACCATTAATTGCAAAGGCCTATCCACAATGGTCTATTTGTATGAAATTATAGTTCATAGCATACCAGCCATAGGTATATAGATAGATAGATACAGAGATAGATAGATAGATGAGGAAAAAAACACCACCAATATATTATATCCACAAATCCCAAAATATCCATAAACAACACATACACAAATACACATGACATGACATGAGAGCAGGACACTGGCGCTGTACCACTAATTGATGGGCTGGGTTTAGTTTTAGCTGTTACTCTTGCCAGCTCGCGCAGAGTCTGACGCGGGCTAACTACTACTAGATAGCATGCGAGAGGCGATACACGCCCTGCGTTGCATCTTCTGGTGCCTCCAAGGTATGCAGAGCACGCGGATCGATCGGACCGTAGTAAGCCATCCCGTCCGTTGCGTATTTGCATATTGGCTTTTTCGCGCTCTAGCTTTGCAACGGAGCAGTTTCAGAGAAAACCGTTCGAAAGTTCTGACCTTCATTGCCCGTTAAGTAGGTCGTATCCTTCGTGAGACGAACAGACACTCGAGAAGTGAGATTGAGAGTAACACACACACAAACCCAACTACTGTAACCCTCGCTGCGCATGCGCGCCGAGGGTTAATGAGTACCTTGGGTGGGACTAGAACCCATGACACTCTACTGTCTACACAGTGCTCTACCCACTGAGCTAGGCTACCAGGGCAGCTCAGTAGGCATAGTAAATTATGTACGTAGTACCTTTTTCAGACCCACTTATTATAATTTGTCATGACCTTATCATATTCGTTTTGTCGTTGTTTCGTAGTTCAGCTACTGTTCTGCCTCTCACTTTCCTCTAGGGTTCTAAACTGATATATCACTTCTTCTGGGTAGCCGTGGGGATCATGCAGGTTTGAACAACCAATTTTTTTTTTGCTGCAGTCATACAAACATTATGTGAACTTTGTCATGGTTAGACGACGAGTCATAGGAAATTACACGGATTTAGGAGCCCAAGGCCCTGCTACTACTACAGGGCCCAAGGCTTCCTAAATCACCCGGTATCCTGACTCATCTAACTATTTTGGAGTGCGGTGTGCGCAAAACATGCAAAATGCAAGAAATGTTCCAAAGTAGGTACATAGGCCCTGGAGGTAAACACTATCCAATAGTGTTCCTCGTTTTTATTGCTCCTTCTACGTAGTGTTCTTTTCATCCTACGTATGGAAGAAACTGAGGTGACAAGCTTTTACTTCTAGTTGATCAATCACATTTGGAGTATTTCAAAATTCTGTTCTCTAAATTCCTCTATGACACTTTTGTAGAACCTGGCTTTGGTGTGTGTGATATTGTGTTCATTAATTTCCAGCTTGGTGAGGCCACACTTTATGCCGCATCACTGGAACTAATGGAGGCCTGCATTAAGAAGCTAACGTTGATGAAGGTGTTTGAGAAACAGGTCAGATACTGTCGCCCCTTATTAACTAGAGTGTACGAAAGAACAAAAAACATGCACCTTATAGGAAAGTGTATTATGGACAGGACAAGTTACAGAGTAGGCATGTTCTCCCGAGTACACTCATGTATGTACATTCTAATAGACTACATACTAATGTCTCGCTTGTAAAGTAGTGATCTCTTACCAATTGTTTGTCAACAGCAGTGCTCTGATCATTACATATGTTCCTACGTACATAGATTATTGGGGCAGTATGACATACCACTGTTTTAAACTGTCACACATTTCCACTTCATCTGAAGTGTACTCTGTTCTGTTCTGTTCTGCCACAGACACTGGCAAATGCAATGCAACCATCACGAGAAGAGTCTATACCATGCCTTGCTTGTAAAGTATAGTGATCTTACCAACAATGGTCACATTGTTTGTCAGCAGGAGTACGCTGTCATATGTTCCTACATAGATTATTGGGCCAGTACAACATGTACCAACTGTCACACATTTGCATTATGGACAGGACAAGTTACAGAGTAGGCATGCTCTCCCGAGTACACTCATGTATACATTCTAGTGGACTACGTACTAACGTCTCGCTGTAAAGTAGTGATCTCTTACCAACAATGGTCGCATTGTTTGTCAGATGGTCAACAGGAGTGTGCTATTGATCGTTACAACATAGATTATTGGGGCAGTATGACATACCAATGTTTTAAACTGTCGCACATTTCCACTTCATCTGAAGTGTACTCTGCTCTGTTCTGTTCTGCCACAGACACTGACAAGTGCAATGCAACCATCACGAGAAGAGCTAGAGTGGCCTCTGTCGCAGATGGATAGAGAAGTTGGAATCTCATTTTCATCAGACTTCAACTTCTCTCTAGCTGCACTCCTTTATAAAGGTGCACACACCTTTATGATTGTATGACTCATGTGAGAGATACATATTGAGGCATACATGTGTTTTCTACGACTCACAAATCTACTACACCTGGTTTGTACAAAGGGTGGCATCGAGTTCAGGAGTATTCTAAGAAATTGTTTCTCCTGAAAAGTGTTTTGACACCAGTAATACCTAGCAGCTAGTAAGGCCATAGCATTGGGTGGAGCCAACCACCAGTAATTGGCTCGCGAAGTGAGCCTACCTAGTCATCTGAATGGGAGTTTTTGTCTATATGTTTCTATGTATGTACGTATCTCTATTATTTGTACAAGTGGAAAAATCATTTCTTCAGAATGAAGGGGATGGCTTGAAGCACCAAAAAGAAAGAAACAAGGGTCATTGCACAGAAAAGATACACAAAACTACATGACACCATCCCTATATCTTTGTCTGATACCTTGCCTATGAATCAATGGAACAACGATACATGTAGGGATGATGTCATGTAGCTTTGTGGGTAATGACCCTTGTTTCTTCCTTTTTGGTGCTTCAAGCCATCCCTACGTATATCCCCTTCATTTTGAAGAAATGATTTTTCCACTTGTTTCCACTTTTTTTTTAAGTGAACAGCTTGTACTGTGGCACTCTGCATGCCAAAGTGAAAGCACTATACACTAGCATTTGTAGTGACATTTAGTTAGGTATACCTAGGCAGGGACACTGAAGGTCTAGCATAACAATAGCTAATGGCTGCTGATCCCTGACAATGTTAGGTAACAGGCACAAAGAATAGAGGCTCATATATTGGCACACACGCTGCGCCTTATGCAGCGAACGCCGGCTCCTACGCGCAACACGCACCATACACAGACTCTCACAAACTTGCTGCCTGCGCAAACCAAAATGCAGGTTAGCTAGTTGTATGCTTCCCGAAATGCTTTTAGCTAGTTACTACTACCTGGAAGGCATTACACTAGCGACTGTCGAGTTCCGACGCATGCACAAGCGGCATTAGGACAACGCCCCCCTGCTCGGCGCATGCTCATTGTTGAGTTAGCAGCAAATGGCGTCGTTCAGTGTCTCCCATAAAAGAGGTCCACGATCTACCGTAGTGACTTGCGGCAGGAAAGAAACGATCGCTTGATGCACACCTCCGACAAATTTGGAGCCGTTTAGTGAAAAAATCAGTGCTTCAACTTGTTCCATTATGGAGATAGCGGGTTTAAAGAAGAATATTATGATGATGACAGGAAAATCATGAAATTTCATATGAGCGAATTCTCGCCTGGAGAACTGAATAGCCAGATATTGGCCTGTAGACTCTGGCTAGTGATTTATGAAAGCCTAGGGAGTGATTTTCGCCGCGTTTTGAGGCGTTTTTGTACACAGATCACGTGAGATTTGACCTGTGCCATCCCTATATAGAGCGTCTACCAACGGGCACTGCACATACCCTAATGTTGTATGTGATTCTAAATATGCATTGAACCGTCGCACTCACTCACCAAAATGTGTGGCATTCGTTCTAGTTATTTTACCCTGTACTTGCATGTGCAGGTGAGGCAGAGTAGTTGGTTAGTTGGGTCGTCAGTTTTTGCAGTCTTTTATATTTCGACCTTGTTAAGGTCTCCTTTAAGATAGATGTTGTTAAAAAACTTAGCATTTCTTTGTTCAGCAGGTGAAAATGGCTGAACTTATAATTATACGTGCATGGATGTGACGTACAATTTTACTACCCCTTGCATGTGCATGCACGATAGTACTACCATCAACATGATTCAGTCATAATTATGTATCCCATACTGCAGGAGCACTCTTTGAGCACTCCGTATAGCTGGGGGGTAATAAGTTTACTACAGGTGCTTGATATCCTGCAGGCTTCTCCCACCCACTCTCCACCGTCCGCACAAGAACACAGGAGCTACTCACTACACTCTTTTTTATACACAGTCCTGATGTCTCAGGGTAAGATCTCCACCACCCTTATGAAAGGGCATGAGTTTCTGCTACTATATAGTATGTCTTTTACTTAATAATCTCTGCAAAAATCAAACTAAGACCTCCAATGCAAAACTTATATTCAGGGGAAATATTATTGCCGAGCGCGTTAGCGTGAGGCAACTACTCCGGGTTGTATTCTCGCGATATGCGTACGTACGTACGTGTCGTCAATTAGTCACCAAAAGGAAGTGTAACTTCCGTCATTCGTAGGAAGTCTAGCTTCCGCCGTGCGCGCAGATTCGTAGGAAGTCTGGCTTCGCACGCAGTCAGTAGAGCGTGCGCATGAACGGCCTCAATCGGACTGTTTACGCATTGGCTGGCAGGCGCGAGGCAAAATATGCGTGTGCGCATTCCTAGTTTTTACACACTGCCTTTATGGTAAAGCCTGCTCCTCCATGGCATTTTTATACAACACATGTGTTTAGTACATATTAGGGTATATGGGAAAGAATTTGCACCCTCTCCACCTCCTACACGTACTTGCCACACGTGCCTGACAAAGAAGCCGGCAAAGACAACTTTGCTGGATGGTGTTTACATTAGCAATTGGAGTCTTATTAATTTTTGGAATTCCCTTTTTATTGCTGCTAATTGCTGCTAATTGGAAGAGATGGTAGATATTGCATAATAATAAGACACCGTTCACAAAAATGTATGGCGTCTATAATGTGTATATGGGCCACCTGCTAGGGAAAAGCTGCATCACCTTACTGATTGGTTGCACATGCCCAATAAGTGCAATTTAAGTGTAAATATATCTGACACTTAAATATCACTAGTGTACCTTAGTATACTTTTCCCTCCTGTGGGTGGTGTCTGTCTAGGTTGGATCATGGATAGCATGTGAATTAAGGAGGGCGGGTTAGATGAATCAGCCAGGTATGTTTACACATTGCCCACTTTCGCTCCCTCCCATCCAGTGGCCGCATAGAGGTGTACCAGGACAACCTAGCCTATATCACGGTACTCTTCCCTGAAAGTGAGATAGTGAGGAAGCACTTGCGGGAACCTCGACCGAGGCTCAAGACACTGGCCTCCAGTCTGGAGGACAGCCCTACTCACTCCTCGTACAATACTCTCCTTTCCTCTCATGCAGTACCCTCTCAAAAGCAGCAAATACTATTCCTTTTTGTCCTAGTAAGTTATCTTACATACTGGCTACTACCCCACATAATTGACACAGCCAGCAGCCACTCAGCTGGTGATGTAATACCAAAGGTGTTATTTCTCTAGGAAATAGTGCGATATATAGCCATAATAAAGTCATATGGGAAGAGATGTAATTTCAGTTCAATTGAGTTCACAGGCAAGCGATGGTGTTTCCGTAGCTAGCAGGTGTCATGACACTTATATTAATAATGGTCAACATGACTTGAAAATGTGTGTGTAACACAAAAGTGACTCTCTTCTTCTAATCCAATCCCCCTTTGTTAGGCCTGTGCTCTGATCAACACTCAGGATGAAAAGAAGACACAAATACTCTACGAGTTCCTAGCCAATGCCAGCAAAGTCTACTTCAATGTCTTTCCTCTCATGTGAGTAAATGTTTTGACTTTGAAGAAAAAATAGCTTCTTTGATGTTCACTCGCAAGGCTTTGTCCTTTTTCTGGTGGGATCGACTATACTGGAATGTGTACACATACGTTTACCCCTGAAATTAAGTCGGCCCCTGTTTACATTCTTCAAACCCAAGACACACATGGACCAGATATATAATCAGCACTATTAAATGTCACAGATGATCTTTGAGTAGTAAATGACACATTTGCTGTCAACATGCAGAAAAATGCCGTGTGTAATAAATTCAAGACTTGGGTAAATAGAGGAGAATACCATGCATATTATCAGGGTCTCAAAATATACAAGCACAAGCAACACTTTCCTCTCCTATCACATCAGACGCAGTGTGCTGATGCAGAACCTTGTGCTGACTCTTCAGCAGAGCCAGTCCCCGCATGTTCTGAGTGCAGTCCAGCAGCTTGTGAGTGTGGCAGTGGAGAGAGTTCCGTCTGACACTGACTGCAAACTCACTGTCATCAATGGTGAGTCCTCTGTTTGACAATGGTCTCGGAGTAACCAAATGACCATGCTGTTATACATTAGAAAGTTATGATCATGCTATTACATTAGAAAGCGATAGTCAACTGTGACACATCGTATAAAATCCTTTGCGACAAAGCATTTGCATTTCACCATGGGGTTCCATGAAAAGAAGCGCGAATGCTCTCATTCGTATCAGTTCCCACACACAACGAATTTTGGGATTTTAAGCTCTACTGCAATTGCCTACATCATCTTTGCCAACTGACAGAAACGTATGTAATAAAACACCATTATGGGAAGGTAATTATTTTGTTATTTGAGTATGTGGAGGTGTGTATTGTGTGAATCTGTAGCCTAGCTAATTAGTACAAATTGTGGCAGACAGAGTGTCATAATTCTGTGCATATTTGTCTTCTATTTTAGATCTTGGATTTGGTGGAGTCCGAGAATTTTTCAACCCATTCCCCAAGGTGAGAGAGTGTTGTATCACGTGGATAAGCCAACAGACATGTAATCTATATGTCCATGCCCTAATTCCAGTACACATCTAATGTTGTTAACGTAATCTGTACTTCTAAGAAAGAGGGAAGTACACAGTGTCCACTGCTCAGAAGTTGCGCTAATTGCATCTCAGATGAACCACACTTACATGATATCTAAGCAGAGCTGGGGGGGAGCAGTTCACACCAGATAGTTTAGTGTTGCCAAGGTGTGTATATAGAACAAGGCCACATCAAGCAGAGAGACTGGCTTGTATTCAAACTGTGCATGGGAAAAGTGCTGTGATTCTTTCCTCCGTGTTGAACCATACATTGTTGTGGTTCCATATTACATAATAATGGAGCAGGAAGGGGCAAAACATTAAATATTTCAGATGTTTGTGTGGTGGAGATCAAAGGAAGTGTGGGCTTCAGCACAGACTGAAATAGATCTTTGACGGGTGGCGTGGCTGTTATATAGCATGTTTGCAAATACTTAGATATAATTCTATGTGGTAGCGTAAACACAACCAGATTTTTACGGTGCTAGCATAAACCTAAGCACATGTCTCTTTGTGCAAAACAGAACGGTCTGCCTACTCACAGCAAAAGCACTAGCCATGAAATGTATTTTAATACCTCCTACAGCATGGTTTGGTGTACCCGACCAGCCAGGGCACTTTGCTGCAAAAGTACCTGGAGACGTTGGTAGCCCACCTCTCTCCTAGCGAGGAGTGTGTCAGCAAATCACACTCCCTCTCCTCGATGAAGGACTTTGCCACAAATGGCAGTACAAACTACCCACTCTCAGGCTCATCTGCCCTGCGCCGTTCTTCTCAAGCAATTCCTCCGTCCCACAATCACCAACGTACGGGAAGCGGACCTAGTCCAAATAAGACTCCCCAAGAGACCGATACCTTGGACCCTGATGACACTGATTTCTGACAATACTGGTTCAAATCACTAATAACCCTTCCTTTGTCTCAGTGTGTGGCAGTGCCTATTTTTATTTCGTGTGTTCATAATCACCTCCAAGTACATTATTATGTCTCCTTTTGGTTTTTATAATCTCTTTTCGCTCTGCTTAATCTCACATCTTGCGCTATGACTTCCGCAACAAGGACTAGTTTATTGCGTATGATAAAGAAATCAAGATTAAAAAAACTGTTTTCTCTCGCTTACCTGAAATGTTAGAGCGTGTTTTGTTTACTGCAGCCTGGTCCGCTATGACTGACATGCATAAATTTTCATCATAGCTGAGATTCTGTGCATGAGCTTGCACAGATACTCACACGAGGGCATGATCGCAATGTTGCGCATTAGTAGGCCCAGCGGTCTAAGCCATCCTCAATAGGCACAATATACTGACGCTGCTAGTTCCATTCTTGCTGGCAAGTTCTTTTACAACAGCTATACAATTCCAGGTGTGAAATGAGTGCTATCTGCTACATGCTAAAATTTGTAGTAGCGCTGGTTCTTCACGAGGGTTTGCACTTCAATGCTTTTCATTGTTATTGTCAGACTCTTGACATTGATAATACAAGAAACAGGATAGACTGGTACATATGATAGAGAAAGAGGTTTTGAATCAGGTGGTCTACAAATTCTGAATAACTGATAGCTGGTTCTTTGCTTATGTAAATTCTGAAGAACTGCTGGCTAGTTCTTTGCTTGCATGTGTACAGGGCCTATGTTCACTTTACTATATAGTAGAGATCACAGGCACCACCATGTCAATGCACTGCTGAAGGGTCTCCTGGGCTTTGTGACATGCTGGATCTGCATACACATATTATGGATACATGCCATGATTTAACTGAAAATTCCTTGAAGCCAAATTTACAGGTATAGGGAGGAAAGCCATTATGAGAGGCCGCTCCCAATAATACAGAGTACGGAAATTCTTAGCTAAACACCTACGCATAGTTCAATACCCCAAAAGCGTAAAAGCCATGATGTGCTTAGCCACAGAGTGCAAACACAGGATTTGTGACTCACACATGTCCATGGCAGGCATACTCTGAAGTCCCTGTAATGTGGTTTCCAACTGTTGCAGGCTATTCAGAATCTGTAGGTATACAGAGGAGGATGAAGGAGAGGAGATGTCAACTGTATGTAGTGCAGCTGCATCGAAATTTTGGCAGTACATACAGTTTCACAGTACGACAGATGGACGCACAACAACTGTTTCTCTGTCCATTAATCAACAAGGACAGCAGTAAACAGGTGTATCCATTGCATGATCATCCAATCAAGCCACCCACCAAATGACCACAGATAACCTAGCCAATGTTAAACTGCGTAGGCAAGCATAATCCCACAGGGATTTGACATTCTCAAAGCAGACAACTGGCGGCGGAACTGCATTTCATTTGAGTATGAGACATTAGTCACATAACAAGTAACACGTTTGTGATATATCAGATACACGAGAGCGATTCAATTTCACTGTAATGCCCTGGTTCTCTCAGGGGAAATGGGATAAGCATCAATACACGTACCACACTGTCAATATGTTGTATGTGGAGGACATTTGTGACGTTTGTTTTTGGCAATGCATAATATAGCTATGGGCTTTGAGCAAACAATTGACTAGACTCATCCCCCATTTAAAAGTCCTCCACCCATGTAACTCTCATGCACAGTTTGCTATCATAGCCATCATTACACAGACTCAAAGCATTCCTCTGACAAATTGCCCTCCATGTTCACATATAATGTAATAATAAGTGGTCTTTTAGGACCGTATAAACCATAGACACAAGCTCTTGTTTGCAGGTACACCACGTTGTACTCCCTAGCCAACCAGATAACTCCTTTCAGAACACTATCCCTAATGCAACGCATTTATTGGAGAGCGAGGATGAACAGTTCAATTTTGCATAGAATGACAATTGTTTTTTTTGTTTCACCGTTTTTGTTCTTAGTTGTTGTCTTTGCATGTGTTGAAATATTATATTTTTATCTGTGTATAATTATAGTCTGCTTGTCTTTTTTTGTTTCACCTTTTTCTTGTTCCCTCAGTGTTAAAAAAGTATTCGCATCTATTTAGAATGACGTTCAATTTTATGTAGAACATTACGGTAGTACGTGCATTGCCCGTCACACAGAAAAACACCAAAAAAACATTCAGACGACGTAGGCTCACTTTGTTCGCCAATACGTGCATAGTTGTTTACGAACTGACTGAGGTTGTGAAGCCTCTGGTTAAATCCACACGTCTATACCTCACAAATTAATTAATGAAAAGGCACTAAAGTGCAAAAACCCTCGGCGTACTGTGCATGCGCGGTACCGCTAATTGATTGGTGGGGCTGTTGTACACGTGGTCTCCCACTAGTACAAGCTCGCGGCGAGTCTGACACAGACTAGCTACAGTAGTACACACCCTTCGTTGTGACTTCTTGTGCCTTAAAGATACACAGAGCCGCAGGAGGTAAGCCTGTTCTAATTAGCATATTGGCTTTTTCGCTCGTGTTTCACGCCGTAGCTCCTGAAAGCAGCAGTTTCAGAGAAACCCTCACATATTTTTCGACCTTTATCCGACGCTGAATATGTGGTATTGTTTGTGAAGCGATTGATGGCTCGTGAAGTGAGATAGCTCGTGGACAGACAGACAGACAGACACACACGACAACTACCGTAACCGTCGCTGTGACGGTTAATTAGGCTGTTATGCATTTCATCACGACGGTAGCCTCGAGAACAGAGAACTCGCTCGAGAAGCTGCGCATGGGTAGTAGGCTACGCAGTCGCATTTCTCGCTTCCTACAGTGATAACCTGAAAAAAACTATGGAGTGAAATAGGGTTGCTATGGTTGACTGGGTGTAGCAAGTCAAAGAGTTTTAGAGTACAATTTAAGCCCCAAACTTGGCCTATGAGGCTTTCAAACCTAGGCAGGGCAGGGTAAATAGGCCAAGCTGTTTAGGTAGGCAGCCCTACCATCTGTTACTCAATATACTTCTATTGCCTAGGACACACAGAGGCAGCGCTCTTGCCTAGACAGCAAGAGGTCATGCACAGGTAGAGCTGCCTCCCCACTATTCATGGCATTTCCTATATGAGATGTGGATATGTGGTTACTACAGAGAAGAAATCTATTCCTGGTAGGACTCTACTGATGGGCAGTCAAAACACCACTGGCAAACACTATTATGCTCCATACTGTAAAAGAAAGTGGCCAGTGCAAACATGAATTATTTTGGCCAACAACTGTCATGGGATGGATTTAGTGATATTGGGCCAGGGAAGACTGATGTAGAGAGGGTCAGAGCTTAAGTTATACACTGTATGCTAGTTGTACGCCCTATGTCATGGCAGGTGTTTACGGAGAATTCCGATCAATCTGAGTGCAAATCTCATTGGGGAATACTCTGTTCACAAGGTACAGAGTAAGAATTCAGTGTTATCTGTGATTACACAGAGTAAAATATTTGATACAGGGACCAACAGATGAGGTAAAATTCATTGGCTACACTTATCTACCAATCAACCTCAGGAATGGAGACAACATATCACAGTTGATTAAATGAAAATGCCATAGAATTACTGGGCCACCTACACTAGATATGTACATCTGCTAGTTTGAACAAAAACCCACAAGAGTGTGCCCTAAATGCTTGTGCAATATCGTGGATGTATCACAATACCTTGGTACATGGTTCAAGGAGAACATAATTGCAAACGCTACACCCAGGAAGGAACAAATCAGTGCAGTGTGTATATTAGACATACTACTACATACACACACACACACACAGAGTTTGTAAGAACCTTAGAAATGTGGTTCCAAAGGGTGGCTGTCCTTTTACAAAGGGGTCCGAGTGGTCCCAATGTGGGTGGCTGTCGGTGTCCGACCCAAGGCTGGAGCTCTACCTCATAGCTCTGACAGAAGTTGGTCACCATCTGTGCCAGTGTGCCCAAACTAACTGTGAGTGTCTTTACACAGCTGTGCATCACCGCAGTGTTCACCTCCTCGTACCGATGCTGGATAGGAATAATACGTGCACACTAGAGCAAGCAATTGAAATAATCATGTGCTATAAACTTAACAAGCACGGGTACCTAAACCATATTAGCAGCAGTACAGATGGACAAATGGAAGCATGGTTGTACAGCATATTAGCATGAGAAGGTTTTGGAGTTGATATCAAAAATAGGGTTACTCTCAGGATAAATAATGTTGCAATACACAGACTAATCTAATATTGTTCAAACCCTACAACTGGTCCCTGAAATAGTTCTGATAATATTGTCTGGCCTCAAAAGAACTGTTGGGGGTATGGTCAGGAACTAAAGTTGAGTATTAGACATACTACTATCACACAATAAGCCAGGTAGGGAGGACACACATGTCTAGCCACCACCATGGCCCGTTGGAATTCAAATTATACATTCTTTTCATGCAACATGGGGCTAGAGGGCAGAGTTTGTCCTACACTACTCAAACAAGGAGAGTTGTCGGCACAAATTGTCCGGGCCATTAGTTGGCTACACAGGTGGCTGCACACAAAGGAGTATAATGCTTGTTCTGCTCACCACTCAATCACTGGCTTTTCTGTTCACTTAAGTCCAGTGGGCACTGAGTAGTTGTCCACTTTGCTAATTAAGCCCACTTACATATGTAGCTGAGGCCCACAGAGCATCAAAAACATTACACGTGCATTAATAATCATGAGATGCCAACATTCCTGATCCACAGAACAAAGTCGATAATCATGACACCAACCATCCCCATCAGTAGAACAAAGACATCATGTGACTTTGATCACTAGGCACTTGAGTATGTGGGCTCTCTCTCACCTTTGATATGACTAACCACTATGAGTCACACAAAAACTGTCCCCTATCCTTATATGTACATACAGAACACACAGAGTATACAACCCAGCAAGTAGGAAGGATTGAAATCCATCTCTGTACACAAACGCAAAGCACTTGAAAACGAATAATGGAGAATAAAATTTAGTCAATTAAAGAATGTACACACACATGAATACGTGATGTCCGATACCATTGCTATGTGAACACTACATGCATTGTACACACAACAGCTGCTCACAAAAAAACCAACAGATTGCATTCCCGACTACATACATACTGACATAGCTAGCGTACCTGCTGCAAAATGGAATGTAGCTCCGACTGTCTGTCCTCTAGTTGAGAACATAGGCTCTCTGCTTCACTCTTGAGTTCCTCCCCACTCACCACTCTACACAGTATGACATGCATCTCACCGAGACATCATACTTGTAGGTGTGTACACAAATCTAATAAACTGTTGGCTAGAATTACTTTTCAGGGGTATTAGCAAATTGGGCACCGTTCCATGGACAGTGCATGTGCGTAATCACATAAGCTCACCCAGTCATAAAATTACTGGTTCACCACAAATGAACTACATTCATCCACTATTAGAATGCCATTCCAGAAGAACAATAGCTAAATGGCAGTGTTTACTGGGCAAGTAACTGTATCATGTTCATATCAACACATCTGCACACACTGAAAAAACTATCTAGGTGGCTTACCCAACAATTTATGCCCCAGTGTGACAAAAGCCAAGTTTGGTATTGCACACCACTGCCACACTAATGTGTTCCTATCCCAGCTGGACTTGAACACCTACACCACCCTCAGAGGGCTTCTATAAGATACACTTCCACAACACAACCGCAAGGGACACCTGGCCAACAACACATGTACATTCCAAGGAACCCAGGAGCCTGTTACCCTCAGGAGATTACATATTTCTACCATGGCAACTTGCAGTCACCACCTCCAAAAACATCACCAAGACACAGATAATATCTAGATTCAATCATAATATTTTGTTGACTAGCCACCCCACCGCTGCCCTACAACACCTTTGACACCACATATGCAAGTCCATCTAGTCCACCTATGTAACTGTGTCTGATCTCCAGTGATGACTTGGAGTCAAAATATCGACAGTTATTATGTTAATTAGAATTCGCAGAACACCCAGGAATGAGGAGGGGTTAAGCAGTTTCTTGGCTCAGTGACTTACGTGAACTTCAAGGTACTGCTAAGTGCACATACCCTTGTGAGGTGCATGTTACCACCCTGGATCAAAATCTGATAATATTACTGTACTTGGTCTTAGATCATGCATGTAGCGAAGACCACAAGAGTTTCATTTGACATCAGAGATACTACTCAGATGTTGTTGACTGGCGCACTGTGTAAGCAAAGAAGGCGTCGAAAGGGATGTGTGGGTTACATGAGCTCTGTGAGGTATATACACTTCCAAGGAATATCACAATTTGTAGGCTATGCAAGCATGGAATGTAAAACAGATTTAGCCAGCATGGGACAAAGATAGATAGGTCCCCATTCATCTTGTAATGATAGAGTATAAGTTCAATTGAGCATTTGGAAAAGACGTCAGCCGTAGTTTGACAACAGGGTGCAACTCATTCCGTGACCATATGTAACAACTAATGAGTTGTAATGCCAAAACACCCTATACCTGGACTTCATACACAGTCATTGGCAAGCGAAGCGAGCCTTCCTAATGCAGGAATTTTCTCTATTATATTATTTACAGGCACTGTGTGACGGGCACTGCACATAACGTAGCGTTTTGTGTGATTCTAAATACGCGCAAAACAGACACGAAATATTGAACTGCTCGCTTCGCTTACCAACTGCGTTGCAATAACTGTAGATTTAAAAAAACCGAACGATGCTATTGTGTGGGTGGAATCAACAGGACAAACCTACACGTTTTGAGCTTCAAAATGCTGTTTGTAGGACAAAGAGTCTACCCTTTGGTATGTGGGGGTTTTATCAAAGAATCACTTCACACTCACCCCATATATACATGCACTTTAATGTGGTTTAGTCACAGGCACTCTTTCTATTCAGGGTAGTAAACAGCAACCTGCACTACATCCACAAGCATTCATGGAATTTACTACAGCACTCTAGTTCCGGACTTGTATCGCCCACAATCATGCACGTTTTACACACGGTAGTTTTGGGGGGAGACCTGCTCTGCGAGCTTTCTCTGCCAAATTTTGAGGGGAACAGGAGTGACATATACAGCGGGACAAGTATATACAAGTCGGTCTGCTAATTTTTCTCCCGGAATTTCGGCTGAATTACATTGTTCAAAATCTTCCTGCTCTGTACGTCATGCATGCTATTTGTATATACCTTGAATCAAGGTGATGCCCTATGTCTGCGGGGAGGAGGTTGAGAGATTGAGCAAATACACTACTGTCCAGTCTTTCAGAGGCACAGAGGGTGTCTGCAAACCTGCAGCTACCCTCTAGCTGGGGCACACTGGATGTAAGAGAATACAGAGAAGAGAGTTAGAGCAGAGGTGTGTACAAAATACAATGTCAATGTTTAGGTCTTTTCATATGTATGTAAAATACACATGCATGCACCCCATGCAAATCTCAAAACAATCAATAATCGGAGGTGCAACATGCAAAGACAGAGAAACCAACCTCTCCTTGGAGGATGCTGCTTCCACCAGGTCGAGAAGAGACTCCAGGAATAACAGCTGTTGTAACAGGGATGTCCTTCCCTGCAAGATAATGTACATTTTTCACGCATTTGTAAACATGGTTGGCAGGCATGTGTAGAATGCTAAAATCATATTTGCAAAATTTTTGTATATAACAACCCGCAAAATCCCGTCAATTGGTGTACTAGTGGTGCAAACATATCATTCAATAGCCTTGTATTTTGGCAATCTTCCTCATCTGCACGCAAATGATTCTAATACGGAAATGGACGGAGGGCAACTAGTCAGTCTTAGCATGTGATACAAGTCACAACTGTCATTAAGTGTCAAATTTTGCTGAGATGTAAAACATCTGCATTACTCGCCTGTGTGTTGTGGCGAGACGACTCAATAAAATGGCTACCAACAGTGGGTTTAAGTTATCCTCGTGGCACACTTAACGTGGTGAAATATACTAGCCCTTCTCCACTTCCACATGTAATCATAAATATGACGTACTGTATGCACACGCTGAGGAGAGAGAAGGTCTGCGCACAAGGCTAGCATCCCATTATATCCCTGCATGTAACTGGTATATACATAGCTAGAAAATTCAATGTCTTTTATTGCTTCACCTCTTCCCTTTGTTACTGTACTTTGTAAGGATATACATGTAGCAGCTCTGTTACACATGGACATGTATGTGGGCACCTCGATCAGGGCAACATTTTCCTTTTTACACAGTCCAATGCTTGCAAAATTGCTCGTCAGAATTGCTGTAGAGATGGAAAAACTGGTCAGTAGAACCCTTTACTCTTCGTCTCCAACAGTAACATTGAGTAAGAGACCTGGACCCCAATTACAAGAATCTAGGGGGAATGATAATATGTATATACCTACACATAGATCGACATTCTTAACACTTACTGCTCTTCTCATACCAGTGTCATTTTTAGCTGTGTGCAGTATGGGCTAGCACCACAGCTTAGAAATGTATATAGTGATTGAGGCACATACAGCAAATACAGGCATCAGGTCAAATGAAGAGGGACACACAAATCAGTGTCTCACGTGAAAACCCTATTAGGAAGTATATACACACATGGCATGCAGCATTGCACATTCCAATAACTCCCGGGTATGTACATGAATCACCAGAGACCATAGAGAAACAGCTACTGTAGCCCTCACAACACAAATTGACCTACTGTACTTTGGCACATTCCACCCTTTCACCAACCAACCACAAAACCCCATTTTGAAACTAAATACGTGGGTTAGCTTGAAAATGTGCAGGCCGCAGTGTGGGTGGTGGTCAAAGTCATGTGACGAAACACTTTATGTAACATGCGTTCAAACTCTCGCTACATTTTGACTGCCAAATGCAAATTCACACAGAGACGGAGATTATGTTCTGTGAGCTCTAGATCTCTTCCTGTGAAGTTTTGGCTTCATCCTCATACTGCCGTGAGGTTCCTGGTAAAGCATGAACATTGTCTAGTGTTGACCAATACGAGTGTGAACTTTATGTGAACAGCAAATAATATAGAAGAGGGAAACTAGGGAGGTTCACTTCACTTGCTCATTAAGCAAACATCAAAAGGAGCAAGAAAAAATCAACTAAAGTCCTTTTTTCCTATATGCATATGTGGGTGGTCTGAAGATGAGACTACTATATAATTCCTGAGTGTTAACATAATGTGGTGATATGCGATTATGACATAGGATGTGGTAAAACAGATATCCTAGTAAGAGCAGTGTCTGTACATAGTGTAGGTGTAAGATATTTAATATTCATGCACACATGTATATTACCTGTATCCTTGGAGACACACGTGCTTTGATGATTTAGGGGTAAGTCTGTAAGAAACCTGAAAAATTACACCATAGATTCAACAATATTGCGTGAGCATTGATGTTTTGTTCTTTCCACCTCATACGGTACACACAAGCGTATTAGGGCCATGGAAACACTCGGCATGGAAACACTCGGCGTGGCACATTTCTGAGCATGGGCTCTAATATGCCTGTGCATAGTACAGAAGATGGAGAAAGCCATAATGGTGAGGAAATGTTTGAAGTCATGCTCTGGTTTTCTCTAGATGATGTATAAATTAGTATGGTAATAAGTAATAGTAAACACTTTCAAAAATCTACATTAAATGTAAGGTGCAGGCTTTTCAACCGTGCTATAACTAAAACATCGACACCCATGCAATCGTTATTGTCGTATTGACCACTGGTGCACAAAAATTAATTGCCCTCAATAAATCACTAAATGCCATATAGCGGTAAAGTAGGAAAAAATTCTGGTGAAAGACTTTCCGAGACAAAGGGTCTTGCCAGCTGCACACAAGTTTCTAGACAACTGAAGTTTATGGTAATGGGAAAAGAGGGTATCCTTAGCCATTTTAGAGAAGTACATTGTGCCTTAGTTTCATATCTACATGTGGCTCCAATTACCTATCGAATAGCCAGGACAGAACGCGGGCCCTGGCCTCGCCCTGTGTCAGCACAACCCTAACCACCACACTCTCCTCCATGCTCCGCAAAAATGGGCACCCCAAGGCCTACATGTTGAGAACCAATAAATGAAGCAGGAACTACTTTGATTCAGGGAAGGCTAACCATGAGCCTGGAGATGAGTGAGTTGGTCCTGTAACTCTGCTTGTCGCTCGCTGCCATATCCCCGCCCTCCCCTCTTGTGCTGCTTTGTCGCTGTGGGCGCTTATTTGGTCGCGCAGCGCACATTTTAGCGATTGCGCAGCCGCATAAATAAAGGCGCAGTGTGCGGAAGGCGATCAGTTCCGCAAGTTTGTAGCATCGCTCTCGTGTAAAAAGTTCAGCATGAACTGCCTCGTAGGACTCGCCGTCGTTTTAGTTGCTTTTTCGCAAGTCTTGCACCAGGTTACAGCAAATGGTCAACCAGAGCCTGGTGAAGATGCCCAGAAGGAGGGCTCGCCGATATACATTTACATGGAGCGTCTGCGAAAAGTTACGCGGACAACGTTGGAAAGCGTTGACTCGACCGGCGAAGACTCCCAGACGCCAGGAACTCTTCTTGCAACGAGCTTCAAAGACACCTGTAAGTGGCACGATCTTTTTTCTCTTGCAGCCAGTTACTCGTAGCTAATGTTTTTGCAGACATAGACGGTGCACAGATAGGCGGAGGAGGCATAAGTAGCAGTATCGATCTCCACTTTACTGTACCGCGACAGTCGACAACAGCCATTGGCAACCAAGATGAATCGCCACCAATTTACAAATCAGAACTGTGGCTCTTTCCCAATTTCAACTCTCCGAGAGATGAGCGCTGGTACCAAGTTACGCTGGGGTTTGTATTCACGTTGGATGGATTCAATAAGCGAGTGGAGGCTGAAGTACCTAACATCCTCTGGAGAGGGTCAGATGAGTGCATCATGGTCGACCTAACTCCACAAACAAAAATAATTGATCGTAAACTCAAGAAGCGTGACCTCAATGAAACTCTTGTCCACGTGAGAGTAACCGTTCACCACAAAGAAGAATATCATGGGTCTTCTGTTCCCCGCGTTGAAGAATGGCAGAACACATGCTCATCCCTCTCTTCCCGCACAACAAACACCTCTTTCCTTGTTGTCAAGTACTTCTCAGATGAAGTTAGCAGATCAGAGGACAGCAGGAGAAAACGGAGGAGCGTTCCAAACACACCACCAACCAACAGCAGCTCAGCACAAGGCTGCTCTCTCACACAATTAAAAGTGAGACTCCAAGAAGCTCTTGGGGAATGGGTTGCTTCTCCAACTGAGCCAGTTGATATAGGTGCATGTTTAGGCGAGTGTGATATTGCCCATTCCCGAGGGCTGTTTTCTCAAAGAGCAATACTCAAGGACAGACTGAGAAACCAATCGCCGATTCCAAACCTACAGTATAGAGTATCATGCATGGCAGTAGCCCTTGATCCTGTAAAGGTCCTCATCCATGACAAGAAAGTACAGTCTTATTTCTTAGTTAACTTCCCTATCAAAGCAAAAACTTGTGGTTGCCGATAGTTACCACAGAAATTGTCATCTGTCATTGTATGTCTCATCACCTCCTTGTTATATTACCCACTCCTTGTGATTATTATTTCCAACACAAATTTTTGCAACCTTTCTCACCATCACTTCATATCATGTATGTGCACAACATGTATAAGTCATGTAAAATTTGCCACTATATAGCACCATACAGCTGTTGAAAAGTTACTGTGTTTTCTTACATAACTCAAAAAAGATGAACATAATGCTCTGGCTCAAGACTACAGGGTTAATGGATAATATCACAGGATAAAAGAGATACGGTTATAATGAAAAGAGCTACAAAATGTGCTGGAATAGTCAGTTTTAGCAACAAACATTGGCACGTAAACCATCGGAAATGTTCATGGCAAATATGGCAAGAGACGGGAGGTAAAGTGCACAGGCGGTGATCACCATTGCAACGTACAGGCCCCAGTCAACAGTGCACATGCCACGATAGTAGTAAGATGCCTCAGGCCCACAGAACTGTGACATAAACTTGGATTCTAAACTGACAGGCAGAAGGGCAAGTGATATCACAAGTGCAACTCCTGCATGGTGAGAAGAGAGGAAAAAGGTATATTTCAGTTACATAATGTGTAGATGCCATACTACAAAACCTTAATTTTTACATACCTCCAATCACTTGAAACACAAAAGCAACTGCAAACATCGATGTCCCTTTAACCTTTGGCTTCAGATAGGCAGTCACCCCCCATATAAGTGATAAGAGGAGCATCAAGAATGCAAACGCATACAAGATGCTCGCTGAAAAGAGAAAAGCAATATCTTCTAAATCAGCATTCTCCAGGTTAGTGGATATTCCGCCCAAAGTCGCCTGTGGGCTATACTGGTGATAAGTAGTACACTCCTCAAAGGAGGCGTTGTTAGTGCCTTGAACCAGGGACGTGGTCAACTCGTAGCAAAAGTGGTAGAGACCGAAGTCCACCTTATATACTAAATTGTCGAGCTCCCGGCGCTTTTCAGGTGTGTTAACATCGTTATGAACCCAACGAGGGAAGGCAGCAACGATCACTAGACCGCAGAGGACCAGAATAGTGAAAATGATCCATAGGGTGGACACAAACGAGATACCCGACACGGTCACAGGAGTTGGCTTCATATGTCGGGATGATGCCAGCCGACCGGCACTTATCCCGTTGATGGCTTTACCAAACTCCTCTCCATCGTGCATGGACGACATCGCTCTGGCTTGCTCAAGTCGAAACTTTTGTGCACAAAAAGGGGCGTAGCTAACCCAGCAACGCCCTTGTTTACTAGTCTCGTGATGAATATTGTTATTATTTTGTGCGCATGCTCGTTTTGCCCAGGTATATAATATCAGGCTAAGTAAACCTCGCCTGTGGGTCAAGCCTGCAAAAAATCTTAAACCATGTTCTTGTCACTTGCACCATTGATCAGGGCCAAGTAATCCTGATGTTGACACACCAAAAATAGTAGAAGAGAAATCACACATCAGATAGCCAAAGGGCAGAGCAACTTCAGTTTGCAGGAACAACCAGCAGATTATGTAACTGCATCATCACTGACGCAGGTGTGTCAACATAAATGTAGCCTAGCAAGATTTATATCAACTGAACTGCACGTACTTTCAGTGCAATATTATGCGCCCATAAAAGGAGTATAGTCCATATGAAATGTTACAATTTGATAAAAGGAAAACGGTGAGAATGCTTTTTAGCAGTTGCCTCTTGTACAATGTTTTGCGCTATATGTTTAGGAAGAACAGTCTTCAGCTCAGCCAATGCAGTATCTGGCAGAAGTGATAGGTAACTGGCACACAAAGCATAGAGAGTCGGAACTCCACACAGAAATACTACTGTATCACTAACAGTTTCCAAGACAGAGTCACTGTAAAGGTTACCTTTGGTGCCACCAAACACTACAACATGTGCTTCAGTTGGCGTTGGATGCCACACACCTGCCACATGCCACAGTCGAGGCTGGCATACACGCATGGTAGGAAGAGCAACTTTCTTCCAGGTAATGGGATCAAGCTCCAAAGTCCAGCAATCAGACACAGGATTGCCCTTATTGTCCATACCCCATAGCAGTAAGAGACAAGGCCGAAGTGGAGACAATGTACAAGAAGATGACAGATCTGGGGGTGTACATGGAAGCCAATCGAGTCTCAGAGGAGTGGGTGTTGGTAGAAAAGCAGATGACAACGTTTGATGGGGAACAGTTGAAACACAGGAAGTTTCAACAAGTGAGCATATGGTATGGAAGGACCGCTCAGATGGCCATGGTTCATTTGGGGATGACTTCAGAAAGACACCTTCCCATTCCCAGACGTCCAAGTGCAGTATGTACAGGTGGTTAACCCTCTCGTTGACTTGTCGACCTCCAAAGAGAACAGCGCGACAGGAGTCGGCCATGGTGACGGTGAATGCAGCACAGGGAGGGGGACCTTGGCCCGAGATGTGTGGGCTAATCCATCTGCCCGATTTATAACAAAAGAGATGAATTTCATTTGTCCAGCATAAGCCGTTTTGATGATCCCAGAAGTACTGTGCCCCTTTCTGTCCATGATGCACACCTCTTTGTATGTGATGCACGGATGGATACCCATAGCCACCAATGACACAAACCATGTCATTTCCATATGGAATCATTCCCGCCTTATCTTTCAAGAAAGGTCCTTCAGCTGGGTTACTGATATCACACTTTATCCAGCTCATTTCATTGAGATCAAGCATGTGCACATCGGCAACTCGGAGGCCAGATTTCCACCCACCAAAAGTGACCAGGTACTGATCCCCCAGCAAGCAACAGCATGATCCACTCACTGCCGAACTGATCGCTGTTTCCGTTATCGCCTGTAAATCCCATCTACGTTCCTTCAGCAAAAACCGACGAAGTGTTTTTTCATCATCGAGAGATGGAAGTAGGTAGTTGTCTTCGTGTCCCTGTAAAATGTATACGGCTCCGTCGTATGAAAAGCAACATGCCCCACGTCTTCCCACTGGTTGGTGATTTCTGTCTTCTACATCCACAACCTCGCGCTCCGGGCCATTGTCGGCGGCGGCAGGCTCCATCGCATAAGCGGTAGTCTGGTGCCCAGACCCTTCACAAAATACGCGTTAACGCATGCGCGAGGGAGGGGAGAGGGCCTCTCTCCAAGGGCCAAGGAATTTCAGCAACCGCTTGTTGCGGTTACACCCGACTGTGATGAATATCATTATGCGTACCTATTTACCTGTAAACTGTTTTTGTGCCTATAACCTGCTTACTGTCTTACAATTAAACTGTTGTACCACGATAATAAGTTCCTCAAAACAGTAATTACAAGTTTTTAAACAACAAAAAACAGCCTTAGGCAAGAAAAAGTTATAAACTGTATTTGTGCCTATAACTTGTTGTGGCAGGTCCTCTAACAATGAAACTTGGTACACTTATTTACCATGATAATACTTTATCCAAACAGAACAGAACTTACAAGCAACAACAAAAAGCCTTAGGCAATAAAAACTTGTGTAAATGGTGTTTGTGCCACTAACTTGCTTATGTTTCGTCCTCTCGCAATGAAACTGAACAAGAAACATGACGACACGCTGTCTGAGGCAGATGCTACTCTTTCTATGGGCATTAAGTCCCAAAACATCCCCTTTTTATTGCATACCATGCATGTGAATGCAGTAATAAAAGGAAGGAGACAAGCAAAAAATGAGTAAATATTCCTTGAATTAAAAAATGGTGGTGAATATAGGGATGCCATAAAAAGCTAGGAGACAAGACAAGGATGACCCAGTGAATGTTATGCAGTAGTACAATGGATGATGGTTACATACTTCGAACTGACATCTCTTGCTCTACGCAGCTATGTACCAGCGAAAGTCTTGAGTTCATGATTGGGAACGTATCTTCGGTATAGTTCATCGGATGGTCGTGATTTTTGGACCGTCTCGTAGGTCGCACTGAGAAGCGTCCGAGTAGCCCACTTCCACTTGTTCTACGCACGCGCATACCTCGAAAGGCCGCTTAGTAAACCATTTTCCCTCCATTATTAATTTTAATAGGGGGCTTGCCCCTTTCACAAAGATATAATTATGTAGTAGTATATAAAAATGAGTGGACACTAGTTGAATCCTGTGAATTAAAAAAGAGGCATGTGTAAAAAAAGGGAGACAAGATAGGGGTGGGATACACAAAGCAATGGTTAAAGAAGAGATTTGAGCACGCTGACACCCTTGACCTCATCACACAATCCTTACATTGTTGCCTAGGTGAAGTATTAAAACATTCAACATCAAGACTTGTAAGCCATGCTACTGAGTAACCAACACAGTCAGTGGCACACCCGGCAACAATATAGGGATTGTGTGATGGGGTTGGGGGTGTCAGCGTACTCAAATCTGTTCGTTAACCATGTTTCGTGTATCCCATCCCTATCTTGTCTCCCTTTCTTTTATCCTATTTTTAATTTACTTGTCTCCACTCATTTACACATAATAATTATATCTCTGTGAAAATGGGCAAGCCCCCGAATAATGCAGAAAAATGCCTATTGTTGTTTACAAACATGTGGTCGTCATGGAAATGATGTAATACGCAGTGCATACCAAGTTTCATCTCTGTGTGCTACTAGTTTGAGGAGTGAAGTTTTAAAGAAAAGTGCCTGCATGAGGCTATCAATTGTTGCTGTGGTAATCATCGAAACGATGTAATACACATGAGTACTATAAGTTTCATCTCCATGCATTAGCAAAATTTGAGGAGTGATTCAAAGAAAAGTACCTGAGTTATTTGCTGTAATTTATAAATATGTATATAGTCGTCATGAAAACATGTAGTTGTCATGGAAATGATGCAATACGCATGCGTACCAAGTTTCATCTTTATGTGTGCTACCATTAGAAAGTTTGAGAAGTGAAAATGGAGTTCAAAAAAAGTTTCTGAGGTTCAACTACTCCCTTGGTCATCGTCGTCTCAAGTCATAAATAATGTTTAATTCTCTGCTTTGTGGAATGGAGTTGAACCAAATTATGTCATTCGTATGAATTAACTGTAAACTATACACGATAAAAATGCATACAAAAATGAGCACAAATATTTTTGCTGAAAAAATGTGTCACATAAGGCTGAAGTGTACGTATGTTAAAATAATGTTCAAAAATCATTAGACAAATTTTAGGTACTTTTCCCATCTGATAAAGGTAGACTTTTGGCGACATGTAGTGGCTGTCTGCGGGGGTGTTGCAGGGATGAAAGGGATGAACCATCTCTCATCATCTTTGGGCCTGCAGTTAGCAGAGCCTCAGACTTGATCACACTTTGCTTCAAGTAATCTAGCCATATCTCGTGCTCAAGGGCTGACTGTGGTAAACAAAATAGTCTATATAGGTATACCTGCCTGACAGTGACTCACCTCAAAGCGTAACCAGTATTCTTTCTTGCTGCCAACAGGTTGTACGCGAATGCAGTTCAGTCCTCGGTTCTCCTTCTCCTCAACCAGTACAGAAGAGTCGAATGCTAGCACGTTTGCCTTGCCAATGGACTAGAAGAAATGAAAAGCACTAAAGTGCAAACCCTCGGCGAACTGCGCATGCACGGTACCGCTCAATGATGGGCTGGGCTATTAGTATACGTTTACTCGTGGTCTCCTGCTAGTTGCTTGCTCACGGAGAGTCTGACACGGGCTAGCTACAGTAGTAGATAGCATGCGGGAGTCGATACACGCCCTTAGTTGTGACATCTTGTGCCTTCAAGATACACAGAGCGAGCGGACCCGGTCGAGGTAAGCCTGTGCTAATTAGCATATTGGCTTGTTCACTTGGTTTTCACGCCATAACTCTTGAACGCAGTTTATGAAAATCGCCATTTTTAAAATGAAGCCAGTGTAGCACTGAACCAGTTGGTGTCGCTTGTTGGCTGGTTTGTTGCGCGTGGTGGCAAAAAAACATGGTAACAGACAGACACAGAGACAGACAGGCAGACACACAGACCAAGTACTATAACCCTAGCTGCGCATGCGCACCGAGGGTTAATAAGAGGAATAATACAGAGCCAATCATACCACCTGGTTAAGGCTGATCGCAGTACCCAGAGCAGGGAGGGAGAAAACTCTGCGTTGGGGTGAAGATAAGGCACTGAGGCACACTACACATTGAACTACAACTCTTAGACAAACACTGGTCCCCAGGCTTCCTCAAGTATGGCAGGAGTCACTGTTTAAATTCCTGTCAAAAGCTAGAACTCACAAGGATGTTGTCACTCCATTCCAATCTGTTGGGGTAGAGCACAAAGAACCTCTTTTGCCACTGGGGAAGCAAGGACATTCCTCCTAGCTTATGGCCATATCCTTGAATTAGGCTGTCTCGATGATGCAGGTCAGGGTTGTAATAGTCTTCAAAATAAGACATGTGCTAAAACGAACCCACACAAACACCAGAGCTTACCGACTCCAGCTCGATGACATTTCTGTCTTTCTCTTTCTTCCAGTCTGTCTCTTTCACTATTCACATTGGCAAATATTCCTTCTGTAGCCATGAAAATATGAATCAATTAAAAACCCTCCTTCAGTCCTACGTAAATAAATGCAACACTGTGTAGCACCACGAAAATCCTCCTATACATTTAGGCACTTGGTTGAGGTATATACAAGTTCGCATTGCTGCTTGCATTAGGGCCCTGTTATGCAAGCAGTCTCCGTAGAATATTACTAGGAAAATGTTGTTGGCGAGAGGGAGCAAGCAAATTGGTTTTTGTGCATGTGCATATCAAGTTGTGTTATTTTTGAATGTAAGACGCCTGACAGACAGCTGAATAGATAAAATATATGGAAGATCCTCCGGTTGCAACAAATAGTATGTCCCTCCCGTTCGCCAAATTATAACTAGCAATAAGTATACTCTCCATTGACTCAGTCCACTGTTCATCCTGTTCTCCTCCTAAAATTTATGGTTAAGGTCACCAAATAAAGTTGTATATGAGGGAGAACCATACACAAACTGAATCCAAGGTGCACTACCAACATCCCACCTGTCAGTATGACTCACTGCCAAATAATGGTAGAATATAGGTAAGAGAGTGGCACTAACACATACTTGAAGGTAATTTTAGGCACAAGTAGCCCATAGATTTGAACCATGTCTATGCAGACAAACAGTGCAGCAAATGGTCATATGCCCAAAATATAGCTTCTGTAAAGCCATCGAAGAACTAAGATAGACTCAGACTCATTGTGCATGTGTGTATTGTATGGTAGATGATGTAATCCTAGGTGATGTAATGTATGCTAGAGGTAGACTAAGTACGAAAATCAGAAAATGGAGTTTTACGGCCCTACATCGAACGAGGTCCAGTTAACAGTGGAGGTCTCCACCAAGACTGATTCGCCTCCTACAGTTGTGGAACTTCAGTGTAGGCAGCCAGCCAAGCATATCGCTCTACCGTGCACGGTGTTGGCAAGGAAAACGGCTCAGTCTGTGCTGCCCGGCGCGACTAGAGAGCCTGTGAATCAATACCTTTCCATCGAAACTCCTGACCAAGCCTAGTGTATCTAGCGCAGCCAGTTGCTCATCCTTGCCCAGGACCAAGTTTCAAGAAGCAGCTTCAGTGACCTCCGTTATCGCAGCAGACGCGCCGAGGTCCCCGTATTCTGGCGTCTCTCCATCTCCCTGTCCGTTCCTAGTAGCGCCCATTCGTCGTCCTCACTGATTGAAAGGCCGGGCTCACACAGCTCCCCTGTCGACCACGTAGCGATCGCCACCAATCTTTACACTTCTACAGCCACCAGCCCGAAGCCTCCCAGCTGGAACCCCTTCATCTCACTCCAGGTACCCACTCAATAGTGAAGGACTTGGAGGAAAGGGCGAGAGGCAGTTGGCGGACCAACAACGAACACTTAGCAGAACAAGACGCCATCATCACAGCCCACGAGGAGGAGTTGACAACACTGAGGAAACAGATGAGGGAGCTGCAAGGCAGGGCTTCCCGAGAAAGGGTGTCTGCTACCCGCGACGACAGGACCTCTTGACCGTCAGTGAGACTCTCCTCCACTGAGCCAGCTAGTGGGGAAAGTCGTCCTGAGGCTGCACACAGAGACACTCATGGAGCATACTCAACAGCATCGCAGATGCTCTATCACGAAGTCCACAAGAAGAAGCCCCAGTCGAGCAGGAGCTACAAGTCTCAAGTGTCCAATCGAACCCTCTCAGAGAAGATGGAATCACTCCAACACAAGTGACCGACCTACTAGATGCATCACCATCACCCGTTCAAAGCCCGGACATCGCAGTGGAGCAAGGGCGTCATGGGCGTCATCTCAGACTGAAAGAAATAATCCATTTCGTAGAACAAGGAGACCTTCCAGCGGAAGAAAAGACAGCTAGACGGATTGCTCTGCAGAAGTCCCAGTTTACGCTGCACGGGAACATTCCCTACCATCTCGATCACAAGAAAGGACACCACAAGCGAGGTGCCGTACCAGCACACCTTACCGAGCAACTACTCACTGAAAATCACTCTTCGTTGAGTGTAGGACACTTCGGAGTGAAGAAAACTTATGGAGACCTGGTGTGCCACTGGTGGTTGGATGGTACGTACAGCGACGTGGTAACGTTTGTGACAAATTGCCCTAAGTGCACTATTGTCACTGGTGGAGGAGGTCATCACCACGCACTACTCCACCCTATTCCGGTCAGCCAACTGTTTCAGATTGTTGGTGTGGACACAATGGAGCTCCCACAAACCAACCGTGGCTGTGTCTTAGTCTTCCAGGACTTCCTCACAAAGTGGCCATTATGCATTCCCTATGCCGGACCAGAAGACTCAGAGAATAGCCGAGAGAATAGCCGCTGGTCACTCCCCTGTTCGGAGTGCCTGAAGCCCTACTGCCGGACCGAGGAACCAATCTCTTATCTCACCTGATGCAAGATATCTGTAAGCTTCTTGGAATCCAGAAACTCAATACGATTGCTCATCACCCCAAATCGCATGGTAGAAAGGTTCAATCGAACCCTAAAGATGATGTTATGCAAACACACCACAAAATTCGGCTTTCAGTGGGAGGACTACATTGCAGGAGCTCTGTGGGCGTACTGAAATGTGCCCCACGACACCACCGGGGAGAAACCCTCCTTTCTGTTACTGGGAGTTTATTACCGGACCCCTACTGAAGCTGGACTACTGGTACCCCAAGAACTAGAGGCTACTGATGTCAAGAGGAGGTGGTTCTGTCATTTTCTACTGCTAGACAGATGGCTGCAGACTCCATCAGGACTGCACAAGCTCATTAAAAGAAGACGTATGACTGCTCAAGTCGGGAGACAGACTACAAGCTCGGAGATTGGGTTCTTGTCAGATTCCCCCAGGAATAGACTGGTCGTATGCAGAAATTGCCTAGACCCTGGAACAGGTCTTACCGCTTAGTAGACCGACGGGACCCCCATATGATTGTTGTTAGGGTCTACTCTCCTAAACAAATACAGGTCCACCAGAACCAAGTGACTTCCTGCCCTCCAGAACTACCCTCCGAATTCTTCTGCTATGGGACCTGACGTGCCAGACCTGGCCAACCACCAAAGTGGGTCAACCAACTGCTGCAAGGTGACTTCTTTACTGACCCTTACAGAGCCCGGGGATGACCCAGTGAATGCTGACGACACTGAAGACTCGCCGTTACCAGAGGATCTTCCGACAGAGAATCAGGATCATGATCCTGCTGATTGCATCGAGGACACATTAGCCACAGACGCTGACTCCCTGTCTGATATCCCAGATGAAGACCAGCTGATGTCAGCTGAGCAGAACATCCACCATGATTATAGCACCCATAACTCAGCCCAAGGACGTACTCCTGAGCAAGAGCATCAGCCCCCTCCAAAGACAAAGTACAGTCTGCAGACAAAGACCTCTCCTCCTTCTCGATTGATGTTTGCAAGCTCGAGGACGAGCTTCCCCAGAGAGATGTAAAGCCGTTGAACTAAGATAGACTCAAACTCATTTCGCATGCGTGTATTGTATGGTAGATGATGTAGATGTAGAGCTAGACTAAGTACGAAAATCAGAAAATGTTTTACACCTCCACATCAAACGAGGTGTAGTTAACACTACCATATTTATGCAAAACAATAGGCACATTTTTGGGTCCTCCCTAAACTACAGTGGAACCTCCAACAAGGGACATTCACCAGTGAGATGATTCACTTAGTGCTAATAAAACACCAATTGTTTCTCATGCTACACAGTCTAGTAAGACTCCCTATGAATTTGTATGGACCATTTTAGAGTGGTGTTTTTACTTACCCATCATTTCTGCTTGCCATCTGTCTTGAACTACAAGACTGAAATTCTTGTATATCCTCTGGTCTGTATCACTGAGCTGCAATAGAGAGAACACATGTTTAGTCCACATCCAGTCCTGCCAACCATCAAGCATTGGGCGTGGAGATCCACACATTTAGTTCACACATCCATGCACACATTGTGACAGTTCCACGCATTACATTGTGCGTCTGTGATCTCCATAATTCAACCGGAGAAGACCAAGCGTAGCGCTTGAGGGTGGTAGCAGACAGGAGTACAGCTAGTAGTAGTTTGTGAGCGCCGTAGAGCCACACCTTCGCAAGTTAGCGATCCATATTCTTTCCATGCACAAAGCCTTTTTTCACACATTCTTAGAATAATTCACATATGTACTTATCCAAGGAATTGCACATAATAGGTTGGCAGTACTGTGCATCTGTCTACATTCGAACCGCCTCTGACCTCCCTTTGAGCAGAAACTCCACTGTGGCACACCATTTTCCGTGGAGTGGAATGTAAACTTGCAACCATTATAACACCTATATAGTTTGGGCTCTCTATAGCCATAAATTAGGAATTGTGAACAATATTGCATAGCTTAACTTTTACAAGCGTAATGTACGAATGAGATGGTCAGAAAGCTGGCTTACTGCTGGTGGGGGGTGGTTCACGAGCTATATGTAGGAATCAGAGTTTAAGGACACACCTAACACACTACCTACCAAACAGTTAGGCGCAAATATCACCACTGGTGAGCACAAACCGACCGTGTGTAATGAATGGAACATCAACGTGCACGCAACAAGTTTTAGAAAACAATAGACTATAGTCGTTGCAGATTCAGAGTTATGTTTCAGCATGTACAACAACAATGTAAAGTTAAGTTGATCGTTTGATTTGTATTGCAGTTGGTGTAGTTTATCAAAACGTACCCTTATTTTCTTTGTGTCATCCTCGTCAAAACTGCCGATGTCAAAAGCATCTGCTGCGTTTACCTCTCCCCTTGGTGGTTCAAGAGGCGGCTCCAGCTGAGCAAAAGAATGTACAATGTGATACAATTAATTGGTGGCCTATCAACTGCAGTAACTGAGAGGTGTTACCTAATGGCAGCTAAACACTGGCATGCTCCCACATACAATATTAAGTGACTGATTTCTGTGCCGCTACAAAAAGACAATGGGGTTTTCTTTGCATTCTGAATGACGCCCTCCCTGTTGAAGAACGAAACCGAAAGTGGGGATTTGAGTCCAATTCAGGGAAATTATTTCTTCGGTTGTGTGGGTTAAACTCACTCACCAGGCCAAATTTACGATTCAGACAGGAATGTTAACAGAAAAGCAAGTGGGCCTACTAACACAATTTTGTACCATCTGGCCATGTTAGAGCAGACAATTTACACGTGTGAGCATCATGCAGAGGTCAGGCTCCATGGAATTCCACGGTGTTGACTCGCGAAACTACAAAAGGTTGGGTATCTTTGGAGGTCTAGTTACCCTCGCCTGCTCCTACTGCTTTCCAGCCATCACACTGAGAGTTATTACACTTTGTCTTGGCATTGTGTGGTTGTGTGGTATATACACCTATATCCTTAGCTTAGTAGGAAGAGTGCTCTGCTAAAAATAGTAGGCCATAGCCAGGACTCCTAGTTTTTGTTTAGGTGTATGTACTTGAGTTGTTGACTACTTTCCCTGTAGCAGACTACCACTCAGAGGCTTTGAAGCATGAAATCACTGGTAGCCAGAACAATATAGTGTGTCACGCTGCTTAGTTCAAAGTGTGTGCTGCAAGCAAAGCACATTGTGCTTATTACTAAGTACAGTAGTACTTAGTGATAGGGACGACACAGGTTGTCCTGCATTATGCCCATACGTTTGAGATTTGTACATTTCACTTTCAGTTAATCAGATCAGTCTGATCCGTATCGTCAAAAAAGCATCTACCCAAGAAATGGCTTAAATCGAGTAATCGGCAATTGCTTTATTCAAGAAAGTCAGTTTTAAAAATTATTGTTGTCGTCGCTTTGTTGTTGTGGTTGTTCAGTTTCGACAAGCGTATCTAAAAACACCAGGAAATATACGGATATGAAACTTTGCACAAAGATTGGAATCAATGACAGGTCATGCAAGAGCATAATATTTTGTTTGTAAACGATGTTGTTTACAAGTAAACAAAAAAAACAACGAAAAAATAGCCCCAGCCCATACATTATGATAGGGATCAAAAAAGAGTGAAAAACTGTACACGTGCAACCCATCATTTGTATTTTAAAAAAACAACAAACAGCCTCAGGCAATAAAAACTTATAAATAGTGTTTGTGCCTATAACTTGCTTATGGTGGGTCCTATAACAATGAAGAAATTACAAGTTTGTTGCGCGTGGTGGCAGAAATCGTGGTAACAGATGGACAGACGGACAGACAGACAGAACGTACATAATAAACTTAGACACTTCCTATCAGTGGTACCCGTGAAGAAGTCAATAAGCATATAATATATGATTATACTTGCAAACCTTTCTTGCCAGGACATCATCCCAGTTGGTATTTCCAAAGAAAGTACACTCCTTTACTTCCTCTGAACTATACCAAGTAAGAAAATCTTAGTTGTAATAACATACATATATATAGCCCAAATTGAAGAATAAAATACCAGTGTGCACACACGAGGGGTGAAATGAGTAAACTGAAAGTCTTAATTCTCACATGAGTTACCTCATAATGCCAGTCCATGCAACTGCATACATTAAGATGTGCTCTAATAATGTAGGCAAACATTCTTCATGACATAATTATCTATTTTTATATTTTTCTTACACGTGTATATGCTGTGCGTTATTTAGAGTAATCACACTTCTTTTGTATCTCCGTTACATCGTCGTACTGCGTAAGTTTCAGAGTTTTTATATTTTTTAATGAGTTTATTAATCCTTTGAGGCTCTCTATTTTTCTACTGGCTATTGTTTTTATCCTGTAGCTGTCGTTTTTTGTACATGATTTCTATCTATTTATTCTCTAATGAAAAGCACTAAAGTGCAAACCCTCGGCGAACTGCGCATGCACGGTACCGCTAATTGATGGGCTGGGCCTATTATACTAGTATACGTTTACTCATGATCTCCCGCTAGTAGCTCGCGGAGAGTCTGACACGGGCTAGCTACAGTAGTAGAGAGCATGCGGGAGTCGATACACGCCTTTCGTTGTGGCTTCTTGTGCCTCCGAGGTACACAGAGCAAGCGGATCAGGTCGAGGTAAGCCAGTGCTAATTAGCATATTGGCTTGTTCACTTGATTTTCATGCCATAACTTCTGAACGCGGCACTTTTTCGAAAATCGTCTATTTTAAAATATAGCCAGTGTAGTGCTGAACCGGCTGGTATTGCCATTTTACCTGTTTGTTGCGCGTGGTGGCAGAAATCGTGGTAACAGATGGACAGACGGACAGACAGACAGAACGACTACTGTAACCCTCGCTGCGCATGCGTACGCCGAGAGTTAACTATGTGTAAGGGAGGTTGGGACACTTTAAACCTACCGCCCCGGTTCTCAAGGCTGGGGACCCAGGGTCTTGTCTCTCTCTTTCTGTTTATGTTATTGTCTGTGTTTTGTGTGCTTGGGTGGGGGGGTTTAAGAGTTCTTTCTTTTCCTCTCATATTATTCTTTTAGCTAGTATGCTATAAACATGTTTTTTCATGTATATACAGTATATAAAAGGGATCCATCAATGTCGCAAATTGTTTCTGTGGTAAGTTTTATACCTTCACATTAAAGGAGGTATACACCTAACCACATTTTTAAAACTTGGGTTGAATTCTACTATGCCCTGAAACAAGCAAACTTGTTCTCAGATTTTAGGCCTTGTATCTTCAAAAGTTCGGTTCCCACACATTACAAAATGTAGTAGCAATCTAATCCACACATACGTGTGCAATTACCGTGTTTGTTTGACAAATTGTTGGAAGCAAAAAAATCCCTGCATGTCATGTTCTATGTATACACGTAGCCAGAACATGGAACAGGACATGCAGGCAATTTTCTTGCATCCACAATTTGTCAAACTAACACCATACAATGCACCCAACACTATTGCACACACATGCGCAGATATGTGTGACTTTGCTTCTATTGTGCACTTTTCCGCTCCCATAGACAATTCCAAATTCATGGACACAAAACATAGGACCTGAATTCTTATAAATGAGGCATTGAACCATATCCGAAGATTGTTCTTGTTGTAGAATTAAACCCATGAAGTTTGAAAAAATACCAAAAGTTTGGTCGGGCACGTATATATATACCCCCATAAGTTAATGATGTAGTGAAAAAACACAAGTCACTCTAAAATTTGGTGCAACTGCGGATCCTCTCGAAAATGCAGAGATTGTTGTTAACCAGGAGCACATGAGCTGCAAAGGAGTTGAACTCCTTGTACACTACCATTGTCAATAGATATCATTAGTACTTTCAATATTCGGAACGTAGCGCTCTACATGACATACACTACAACTGCAACTACTTGATTGCAGACGGCTGAGGGTAGAATCCATGTTATAATTATTAGCTCATGTGAAACACATAATGTATATATGTATGTGTTTGGATGGCATGGGAGACTCACACTCCTTTGCTGCCTTCTGTTCACATCTATACCCAGGCATGTGCATAGCACTACTGACAATGGGATGAGATGTCACAACTACCTACAATTACTGAACTCCCTAAGTACGTGTGCTGAGGTAGGGTTTAGCACTATGCATATTGCACAATAGCTGAAGGAAAATAATGAGGTCTCCACTTACCCCCTTCCTCGGCATCCAAATCTCTGGCCAGGGTCTTTCTGTAGCAACCCAGTCAGAAGCTGACTTAGCTCAGGAGAGAAGGAAGCAGACATCTGTACCTCCTTGAATATCAATAAAGAACTCAGTATACACTGCTATATGTAAGCACGATATTGGACATTGCTAACGTTTGTATATATGTACTGTGTTGTCTGTACTTCACATGAAAAGGCAAAGATCAGAGATTCCTCACTCTTACGTAAGGTTGTGTCGTGTACTGTTAGTTGTACTAAGGTATATAGCCATAGCCATTGACCACACACCAACATTTGGTGGAACCAGATCACACATACATGAAAATTTGTCTTACCTTCCAGACCACCAAAGTATACAAACCCTTCCAACAGGTGCAATCTAAGACTAGGACCGTTGATTATTGCCTAGACTCCAAACTTAGCATAGCTAACTCTCTAACACAAACGATCCTTTCCTGAAACTAAAAAGTTGGTAAACCAAAAGAATCTCCCGCAACTGACATAAACTCTCCCTGGCAGGTACAGAGCTGGAAACTACCCTAACGCTGTCACACTCGACACACACTTTCCTCGCTTTTTCCTCTGTGTTTACCCAACTCCTCATTGGGTTACTTCCATGAACTTAGCAGTAATCTAGAAAAACAGCATCACTATGTAGACCCATGCAGAAACCTTTTAAACTCGTTAAAAAGTGACTTACTGTTCAGTAAAACACCAGTAATGAAAAGCACTGAAGTGCAAACCCTCGGCGAACTGCGCACGCGCGGTACCACTAATTGATGGGCTGGGGTTTTAGTATGCGTTTACTCGTGGTATCCACGCTAGTAGCTCGCGGAGAGTCTGACACGGACTAGTAAATAGCATGCGGGAGTCGATACACGCCCTTCGTTGTGGCCTTCAAGATACACAGAGCAAGCGGCCCGGTCGAAGTTTGTGCTAATTAACATTATAACCGCATGCGCATTTTCCGCAGCGATAAAAAAATGGCCGACTACGCATTAGCCGTACAATGCCGGAAGCGCTCTAGCTTTGCAACGGAGCATTTTCAGAGAAAACCGCCTTTATATTCTGACCTTCGTTGCCCGTTGGGTAGATGGTATCGTTTCTGGGACGAACAGACGTTCGAGGAGTGAGATATAGAGTAACAGACAAACAGACAAACAGACAGACCCAACTACTGTACCCTCGCTGCGTATGCGCGCCGAGGGTAATTACTACATGTATGCAGGCAATCTTGATCACTAAGCACGGTAGTACTTAGTGCTGAAATCCGTTCGTTAACCACGCTTCATGTATCCCATCCCTATCTTGTCTCCCTTTCTTTTTATACCATCCCTATATGCCTCTTTTTTTAAATTCGCTGCATTTTTAATTTACTTGTCTCCACTCATTTTTATATACTACTACGTATATCTCTGTGAAAGGGGGCAAGCACCCTATAAAAATTAATAATAGAGAAAGATGCTTGTTGTCGTCATGGAAATGATGTAATATGCATGTGTACCTACATGTACGTAGCTTCATACATGTTGGTTGCCTAGATATTATACATAAATAAATACATATGTACATACATACATACTTATACCACGGCCATGCATATTTTCAAAGGTGCCGCCTACTATTTATTTGGCATATTCTGTGCAATACGCCATATTCTACGGGATATCCTGTGAAATAACAAGGATGTCCTGTGATATCCTGAGTACTGTCCTAGAACTTCTCTACAACTTTTCTCCTTTGAAAACGGCCTTGTGACGAGCTGCTCGGAGTACAGAAGGTTAGCTTCGTTCTTTCTAACAAGAAGTGGCGAATTAAGCATGCACGAAGCATCTGCGGGTAGATTACATGGTGAAACCACTCGTTTCAGGCTTACTTTCTGCCTACAATTTTTCTGGAGCGCTAAAGGAAGCACAGACTGTCCCGAATTAGCATTCTTTACGTTTACTCACTGCTTGACTCGGCAGAGAAGGACGACTGACTGCGGTAGTTTTTAGGCGGTTCATAACCATCTCATCTGTGTACTTTTCGTTATGGACGCCTGCAATGGTGCAATTGTCAAAGAGAACGAGCATTCGGTCCAACCGACCTGGCAGCTAAAAATGGCGGCAGTTCCACAGCTGTGCCCAAATATGGTCCGAAAATGATGACGCAATCCGTTACCATGGTATAAATTAATTACACCACGTCTACTGTGGGTGTTTCCGCAAAACCCTCAGGAATGTGTGATACATTCCTTCCGACATTTGCTATAACCCCCTAGTAGACGTGGTATAACAACTACATACATACTTGTTGGATATCCCTAGGCAACAGACGTGTATGAAGCTAGGTACTGGTGGACTGTATCAGCCTATACAATCCCACGTACATGTGCAAGCAGGCTTCATACATGCCATTTGCCTAGGGATATCCAACAAATCTGTTGCAGTACCCAGACAGGACAGCATACATACTTGTTGGATATCCCAAGGCAACCGACATGTATGAAGCTAGGTACTGGTGGATTGTATCAGCCTATACAATGCCATGTACATGTGCAACCAGGCTTCATACATGTGAATGCATCAAGTAAAAATAGGGTGTACGCCACATTATAATGTTTCCCTGTATACGCGAGTATAGCACGAGCCATACACGGGCGGAGGGGAAATCCCTTACGTAGAGCGCAATGCGCGTTGCGCGTAATGCTCTCGCGCGGTGCTGGTGTGGCTAATCGTCGCCATATCGCGCATGCAAATTCTCTATTCGTTGTACTACATAATTCATTCACAAACTCAAACTTGTCCCTGTGTGTCATAGCCCCTATTTTTGCTTGATGCGCTCACACATGCCATTTGCCTAGGGATATCCAACCAATTTGTTGCAGTACCCAGACAGGACAGCATACATACTTGTTGGATATCCCTAGGCAACCGACATGTATGAAGCTAGGTACTGGTGGATTGTATCAGCCTATACAATTCCACGTACATGTGCAAACAGGCTTCATACATGCCATTTGCCTAGGGATATCCAACAAATGTGTTGCAGTACCCAGACAGGACCCTGTCTGGGTACTGCAACATACACATACGTACATATATAAAAACACATACATAGATACATACATAGATACATACATACATACATACATACCTTATTCAGGGTCTGGTGGTCTATTTCCTCCTTAGACTTGGCATTGGAGGATCGGAATGGACTGTGTCTGCACAAACAAATATCAAAATTGCATACTTCCACTGATAACAACTTATGTAACTATTATGGTCCCAATATATGTGTTGTTGTAGTATAATTTGTACCAATCACTCTGTTACACCACCCCTGAAAAGTACATTGAAACTGCTATACTTCTTGACATCACTTACAGTGATTGTTCCAAAAGCATTGGCAAGTAGAGGCAGCAAATGCAGTAGTTAACGGAAGCTGAGTGCTGCCATGCACACTGCTTGCACACTCATATATAATTTACTTTTCAAGTTTCGTGTTTGATCATGTTCACATATCACGATTCATGTTCTATCCACACTAACGCTATTCACATACACTCTCCTTCTCCGTCGGTGTAGCTACGCAAGAAGATGTGTCGCTCGTCATGCATCGACGAGCTAGCCACGGAAAAAAACGTGTGGTGGCGGCCATGTGCATGGCCGCACACAAGAGCAACGAGTCTTCGCAAAGACTACAGATAAGTCACAATTCCTTGTCTCGGCAGAGTGAGTTGTGAGAAACACTGATGTTAGTGAAAACGTTCGAGCAGACCACTCACTAGCCCACCAATAGAAGAGAGCATGGCTGTTTAAGTTGCCCTGACTAGATGACACCGCCTACGGGGAAGGAAAAAGTGAATGGGAAAAACGGTGACTGTGAATACAATGGATGGAAATTGGAATGTGAATTGTGAAATATGAACATGAATCATGAAATGTGAACGCGAAACGTGAAAATTGAACTGTGAATGTGAAAATAAAATGTGATAGCCGCTCTCGGCTTCCGTAGTTACCAACCTCCTATTGTGTCTACACATACACGTCGGTCATCCTGCAGCATACGAAATTATGGTTGGTGCTTAACACAAAACACCTTTTTGGTGAGTGAAGAGAAGATAAATTTTTTCGTACATGATAAGGATGACATTCTATTTTTCATACTAATTTCGAATCACGCAAAACAGACAGACAGACACACAGACCCAACTACCGTACCCTCGCTGCGCATGCGCGCCGAGGGTGACAATCAGACTCAGCACAATAATCTGTTAGTACACATCATACTAAAGGAACATCAACTTACCCCTTCAAAAGCTTGTAGAGTACACATCCAAGAGAGAACCAATCAGCAGTGAATGTATACTGGACACCCTTCTTTATGACCTCTGGAGCCATGTAGCCATGTGTTCCACTGAATAAACACAGCATGAAAATATACAAGGGCACAAGAAAGGTTCCCCTTTGTGATAATGTATAACACTGTCAGCATCTGGTAACACTGCTTGAAATTTCCTGGATCCTTAGCTAAGAGTTTGGGCTCGGCAATCAGATCGCAGGATTTATACGTATAGTAGTCTCGTGGGTGATGAATAGGCTCACAGAAAAATATTTCCCAGGATTTCTGCTGCATGTCATGCCAACTCCGGTTAGGCCTACGAGAAATAACATTACGTGCTGCGAGAGGAAGGCCTGTGCTTGTGAGCCTTCACAAAAAGTTTGTATCCCTTTATCAAACTTGGCCCTCATGGCTCTCTACTGCATGCTGTGATGTATTTGGATGCCTTCTCTATATGAAGGAAGAACCTTTAAGTACACATACAGCAAAGGCAAAGTGGCACTCGAAAGAAATATATACAGCAGTGGCAGAATGGGATAATTGAATTCTACCCAAACCAAGGAATGTAAACAATGGGGGTGTTAGACCAGGAATAGTACCAGGCACACCTTTCCCTGGTGAGTTGAGTGTCCAGCAAGAGAGTACACATACGATACTCAGGCTCTTTGGGATGAGAAAGTGTGCTATCCACTGTTCAGGCATGTTCCGACAAGTTTGCATCATTCCTTTCATATACATATGTAGTACTCCCACAATCCCTTACCTTGTATGTGTGTATATACACCAAGTCACATGCTAGGTTGCATTTGAAAGACACAGTGGAATGTTGGCTAGGTCTGACAGGTTAAGGGTAATTGACAGGGGTGATCCTATCATATTCATGGTCTGGTCCTACACATTAGCTTTAACAATGGAAAGTGTTGGATTACTCCCCACGTCTTCTTCCCATGTCCCACATTGTCAGTAGAGCGTGAACACGAGCGGCCTCAGTCGGACTGTTTACACATTGGCTGGCAGGCGCGAGGAAAAATATGCGCGTGCGCATTCCTAGTATATTATTATTGAGGGTTTGCGTTTGAAAAGCTTTATGCTGGTAGTTTAGTGGGAAGCGCATTCAGCCTAGAGAGCAGAGTGCTGTGGGTCCAACACAACCCAGGAGAGCTCCTCTTCTTTGGAAATTGTCCTGGGTGTAAATATTTTTCATCTGCCCTGCTTTCATACCCTTCATGCAGCATCGTGGGTTCAGGTCCCACCTAGAGCAGCTCTTTTATATATTAGAGAAAAACTGTTGTGGTAGGTGTTGTTGAATTGTTAACCCTCGGCGCGCATGTGCAGCGAGGGTTACAGTACTTGGGTCTGTGTGTCTGTGTGTCTGTTACTCTCAATCTCACTTCTCGGGTGTTTGTTCTTCTCACAAAGGATACCACCTACTGAACGGGCAATGAAGGTCAGAAATTTCTCTGAAAACGCTCCGTTGCAAAGTTAGAGCGCGAAAAAGCCAATATGCAAATACACAACGGCTTACTACGGCATGATCGACCCGCGTGCTCTGCGTACCTCGGAGTCACCAGAAGATGCAACGCAGGGCGTGTATCGCCTCTCGCATGCTATCTAGTAGTGTAGTTAGACCGCGTCAGACTCTGCGTGAGCTGGCAAGAGACCACGAGTAACAGCTAAAGCTAAACCCAGCCCATCAATTAGTGGTACGGCGCATGCGTTTACTTACGATTGTGCATCACAGTTCGCCGAGGGTTTGCACTTCAGTGCTTTTCATTTAATATGTGTTTGCACCCCCTGATTCATTCATGTGCATGGTGTAAGAACCATCATTATGTGCATGAGTAAACAGTACTGACTACTGACTAAAAGCCGAGGTGTGAACTTACACGCTAGAAGACGGTTGGTGCTTTGTGAATTCACATGCCAGGCCAAGGTCTGAGATTCGGATGTGACCCTGTTCATCTAACAGGATGTTGGATGGCTATACGCGTAAGAGATACATAGTCACATTTTTCATACACAGGTGTCTAGTTATGTAACATATGGTTTGGTTCAAATACACTACCTACCTTTAGGTCTCTGTACACAATGTTTTGTCGGTGTATGTGCTCCAGACCAAGCACCAACTCTGCAGAGTAGAATCGCACCTACAGTATAATGAAATGGGACAGTTGACATTGTATGTACACCTGTAATACAAATACGATGAAAATGACCAGCTACAGGCTTTGCTGCAATACAAAGCAGCAAAGCCTGTAGCTCAGATGAAGAGGAACACCACGTGTATGTATTGTAGCTTCCATACCTCCCACCCCCAAACGATCGAACCACTAGACAATAGGAGGTGGCATAATTATACAGAGTCAAAAAACGGGGACAATAAGGAACATACAAAGAGGGTACATCCTTCTATTCTTGAAAACCTTGTTCTTCCAAACAAGGGGTGAAATGAACGCACCTCATTTTCACTGAACACTCCATGCTGTGTGAGATGATAGTGCAAATCCCCACCTGCAATAGTGGCAGAAAATAATACCTGCTGTTCTTACAATTTCCCCACTTGGAGCCGTTCACGAACGAGACAATCGGCAAGTGGCTAAAAAGCATCCAGAACAACGGAGAAAGTGTATGAGTACAAGTATATTAAAGAGGCATATAGGGATGGTATAAAAAGAAAGGGAGACAAGATATGGATGGGATACATGAAGCATGGTTAAAGACACCCCAACCCCATCACACAATCCCTATATTGTTGCCCGGTGTGCCACTCGTAAACTCCATTTGTACTCTTGGTTACTCAGTAGCATGACTTTTTTGTATTTTAAAGTTGTAAGTCCTAATTATTGTGTAATGTTGAATGTTTTAATACTTCACTTAGGCAACAATAGAGGGATTGTGTGATGGGGTCGGAGTGTCAGCCTGCTCAAATCAGTTCATTAACTATGCTTCATGTATCCCATCCCTATCTTGTCTCTTTATACCATCCCTATGCCTCTTTCTTAAATTCACAGGATTTCTCATTTGCTTGTCTCCACTCATTTTATATACAATATAATTATATATATTATATCTCTGTAAAGGGGGCAAGCTTCGCATTAATAACACAGAAAATGTCTGTTGTCCTCAGTCTGCCCACCAGAGGAGAGTTCAAGGACCTGGAGGGTGAGTGAGAGACTCACCAAGCTCCAGCAGGCCTTGTTGTTTACAAACACATGGTCGTCATGGAAATGATGTACAATTCGCATGCATACAACGTTTCATATCCATGCATGCTACCGTTAGCAAGTTTGAGGAGTGAAGAAGTAGTTTAAATGCTAAGGCTATTTGGTATGTGGTTGTCATGGAAATGATGTAATACGCATGCGTACAAATGTTTTCTCCATGTGTGCTACCATTAGCAAGTTTCAGGAGTAATTTTAAAGAAAAGTGCCTGAGGCTCAAACAATATGTGGTCATCATGGAAACGATGCACTACGCATGTGAACCATTCCATCCCTATTTATGAAAAAACATGTTTATAGCATACTAGCTAAAAGAGAGGAAAAGAAAAACCTCCCCCACCCAAGCACACAAAACACAGACAATAACATACCCAAGCATACAAAAACACAGACAATAACATATAAACATAACGAAAGAGGCAGGACCCTGGGTGCCCAGCCTTGAGAACTGGGGCGGTAGGTTAAAGAGTCTTTTATGGGCCCAACTCTCCCTACACACCCAGTGTCCCAACCTCCCTTACACGAAAATAAATAGATAGAAATCATGTACAAAAAACGACAGCTACAGGATAAAAACAACAGCCGGTAGAAAAATAGAAAGCCTCAAAGGACCAATAAACTCATAGAAAAATATAGATAAATATAAAAACTTTATGTTAGCATTGGCAATAAATATGTGAGGAGTGAAGAAGACGGCTGCATTTGTTGTTATTTACAAACGTGTAAATAACAACAAATGTAGCCGTCGTTGACATGCAGGCGTCATGGAAATCATGTTACAGGCATGTGTACCAAATTTTATGTCAATGCGTGGTACAGTTGGCAAGTTAGAGGAGTGAAGAAAATTGCATGAGGCTATTTGTTGTTGTTAACAAACATGTATTGTTGTGTGCTTTATAGCGATCACTGAATACTTATGTATACAAACTTTAATTCGCATAGTCCTTAGCATTTGTGAGTTACACTAACACACATATTCCCATTATAATGTATTGCCTGGGGCAATTTGTTGTTGTTTACAAACAAAATAGTACAGACGTTGCACATGTGGTTATCGATATGTTCATTCCTACTAAATTTCATGTCTTTATCTGTTTTGGTTTTTTGGTTAACGAAGAACAGAACTTCCTATCATATGGCCATCCCTTTATACTAAATGATGTGGCTTAAACAATCTCCCATTCACTGCAGTTGTTCCCTCACAGGGAATGCAGCAGCTTTAGCTAATAAATAATGTATGTTTGGTGAATGAACCACAAACCAACCTACTCAACCCAAAAACCAGAAATTATTATTATGGTGACGAAAACCCGTACACTTTGGGAAAGTACAACAGAGAAACACTAAACCACCAGCTACAAGTCTACCACCGACCAGTCTTTAGACGGCAGATTCAAATTGACCAATCTGATGGCGTAAAACGCAGATTCTAAATCCCTTATTTTCAAAGTACCATGTTTCCACGGAGACGCCCGCCAAAAAATGGCGTCTTCGTTGAGGGGCATGGCAAGCTTCCGCGCATAGAAACTTGCTCTGTCGCAAAGAACTCACAGGGATAACTTCAAGCTTGCTGTATCCGATGCTTCTCCGATGAAAGGTCTCTCTACAATAAAATGAATACCTTTTTAGCTTAACCCAGCGAGAGCGGAAGATGACGGACATGGACAACTTGACAGCCAGCACAGCCACCGTCTAAATAGTAAAGGTGGCCACAATATAGGGCTCGTGTGGAGAAAATTTTACACGAGCAAGCGATTTCGGTTCAAAGTATGTAGCCATCATCCATTGTACTACTGCATCATGTCCACTAGGTCATCCCTGTCTTGTCCCCTTACTTTTTATGGCATCCCTATATTCCACACTTTCCACCCTATATTCCACACAAATTTTTATTTACTTCTCTCCTTTCCTTTTTTTACTGCATTCACATGTATGGTGTGCAATAAAAAGTTGGGCCCATAGAAAAAAGCAACATTAGTTAAGCTATTGCCTCTGAGGTTTTGTCATCATTCACATTACATCAGTGCACCAAGTTTCATTGTGAGAGGACCCATCATAAGAGTTATAGGCACTGACACCATTTAAAAGTCTTTTTGCCTGAGGCTATTTTGTTGTTGTTTACAACCTTGTAATTCCTGTTTCGATGAACTCTTATCATGGTCACTCAGTGTACCAAGGTTCATTGTTAGAGGACATACCACTAGTAATTTATAGGCACAAACACCATTTACAAGCTTTTATTACTTGAGGCTGTTTGTTGTTGTTTACAAGCTTGTAATATCTTGTTTCGATGAACTCTCATCATGGTACATCAGTGTACCAAGTTTCATTGTTAGAGGACCAACCATAAGCAAGTTATAGACACAAACACATTTTACAAGTTTTATTGCCTGAGGCTGTTTGTTGTTGTTTACAAACTTGTAATGTTTACATTTTGATGCTAATGATGGGTTGCATGTGTGTTCAAAGTTTTATCATTATGAGTATTTGCTCTACCTAGTTAGCACACTTTATTGGTCTATATCATAATGTATGGCCTGGGGCTATTTTTTTATTTTATTTGTTGTTTATATGTAAACACAATTGTTTACGAAGAAATAAAAATGCGACCTGTCATGGATTCCAATCTTTGTGCAAGTTTCATCTCCATAATTATGTTAAGTGATTTTTGAGATACACTTGTTGAAACTGAACAACAACAACAACAACAACAACTGATTTTTTGAGTACTGATTATGCGATTTAAGCCATTTCTTGGATACATGATCTTTGTGACAATACGGATCAGTCTGATGTGTCAAAAGGTGGATCTGATTGAAACTGAAAGTGAAACATGAAAATCTCAAATGCAGGATGACCTGTGTCATCCCTATATACTAAGTACTACTGTACTTAGTGATACTGCTTGTGAACGGAAACACACAATTTACACGGCCTCGGAGCCCTTAGTAGCGTCTTCGCTGCACTCAGACAGCTACAGCTCAGGGCCCCTCAGGCCGTCTAAATCGCATATTTCCATTGACGCGCAGTATAACCTATATTTAATGCCCATGTACTGCTTGGAATGAGAACAAATCCTATGACGTCAAAATAAACCCTTGCCAAATCTGGCAATGGTATTTCCTGTGATATGGAGAAAACACCGCCATATAATGTGTATATCCCTATGCCTGTTCCAATCAATGGGGCATCCACAAACAAAGCACTGCACATGTGTACCGGGCAACCTTTCTTGGCACAAGGTTATGTTCGTGTGACATATAGTACAGGTAACTTTCAGATCACCATTCATCAGATCAAGAATGAAGCACAGCTTTTCAGGAGTCTGGAAGGCATAGTAGAGGTTCACCACAAATGGACTGTCAACCTACAAAACAAAGAACAAATGCAGCAGTAAGCACATATTATACTAAAATCTGTCTCTGCTCTGGAAAACTTATACCAGTCGATCTACGGTATATCAGACCATTAGCATAACTGTGTGCATGTGTACAAATTACCAACCTTTGCAAGCATGTTTCGTTCATTGACAGCTAGGTACTCTCCTTTCTTGACTTTGATTCTCTTTTTGTCCAGTAGCTTCATTGCCAGCCTAATATTCACATATTTACATACAAATTCATAATCACCACAGAAGTTACTTTCATTAACAGCTATTGAGAACACAATGGCCATATGGCCCACAATCAAAGATCATCACCACCTTTAAACACACATATAAATACTTGCTTATACACAATTACTGTTGTACACTCACATTTTCCCAGAGTCATCTTTCCGACAGCCATAAACCTCCCCAAACCCTCCCCGACCAATGATTCTGTGGATACTGAAGTCTTGTAATGAAATCTGGAAGACATAACAAACTAATCATGCAACTTCAACACAATTACATTAACACATGTATTATGTTGTATAGTTACATAACCATGGGAGAAGAGCAAAATACAAAACCATCCAAACACAATAGAGACACTCACAACTCACCAGGTCTGGTGTGAGCAGTTCCAAATATTTCCACTGACAAAAGCGAACATACTCTTGGCTAAGAGTGAAAAGAGACGGAGGGAAAGGAAGAGAGGGTAGGTTGGCCAACACAACCTCGGCACAAGTTAAAACAACATGAATACTCCAGATAAAACAGATAACAAAAGGAGAGACTTGAACTATTGCCTGGAGGAGAGGTCCAAGAATCCATGATAGAATAACTGGTGTAGATAGGGCAGAGTGGTCAGATATTTTCCTTGTTGATACTCTCAAGGAATATCACAAGCAAAATAAATGTACGAACCTCTTTGAGAAGCCATCCATGTACTTCTCATTGAGGTGCTGATACAAGTGACGCTTGACTGCTGAGAAGACAGATATCGGTGCCTCACCCTCCTTCAAGGCATCTGACAACATTTGAGCTATCTCTTCAGGCATAGTCTGTAATTGATTTAATACGAGGCTTGGGGTGTAGTTTAAATAAGTATGCACCAGCATGGAGCACATTCAGGGGGAGATAATTCGCCACTTTACTGAGAGCAGGTTTAGCCGGGAAATGCTTCTTACCCAAACTATTGTGTCAAACTTCGGAACATAGTCTCTACACAACCAATATCCCCAATACACCCTACCCACACACATTCATGTATACTAGGAATGCGCACGCGCATATGTTGCCTCGCGCCTGCCAGCCAATGCGTAAACAGTCCGACTGAGGCCGCTCTCTACTGACTGCGTGCGAAGCCTGACTTCCTACGAATCTGCGCACACGGAGGAAGTTACACTTCCTTTTGGTGACTAATTGACATTCCTAAGCATGACTAATTGACGACGTACACGTACGTACGCATATCGCGAGAATACAACCCGGAGTAGTTGCCTCATGCTAACGCGCTCGGCAATAAGGTGACTTGACAAGTGTAATTTTCAAGGACCCCACTGTAAAATGAGCAAGTATCGTTTCTTTCTTCACAGGTTAGTGATCTGTACAAAGAGCCACTTTAAGTATGTGTATACCAGCATTTGCACAGACAACATAACCTGATACTGTCTGCGTTTACCTATTAACGAATACATCCCAAGAAGTACAAGAGGCTTACACTTGACATGGCTAATCTGTCTGCAAAGACAAATTTGTCGTAGATTTCTTTGGCCCGTTTTTTTCGTTGTTCATGTGCAGCTATTCCTTCGAACATCAGTATCTAGAGTAAACAGTGTAGCACATAAAAACAGTCAATTCTAACAATGTCACTTACAGCTCTAAGAAATTCGTAGATGTTGCATTTATCACCAACAAACTTTCGAAGGTAATACGCACCTGCAATCAGAACTGGTTTACACTTGTAGCCCAGAAAGTACGTATTTACCCATCCTCTGTGAGTGGATCTTCTCGAAAAGATAGGTTCCTTCTTGTTGGAAGTGCAGGTGGACCACATTGTGAATGCTGCAAAACACACAGAATGCTCCTTCTTTATCCCAGATTACACCAAACACGTGTATAGAACAAGCGCCAAGGCTGCCACCCACACCACACCTTGTGCTTGTGTACACACCTACCACAACGTGATCCCGCGGCAAGCCGCCCGCGCCTAGCCTTAGCCTACCTCGCGTCGGGTAGAGTTACTTTCTTGATGGTCTTTGCGGCTGGTGCCTTGGAGCGCTCCATGGCCATGAGATAAGAGACATCAGCCAGAACAGCTTCGAGATCGGCCATAGTCGATTCGAGTTTTGGTCACAGAGAAACTTTCCTGACTAGGTGGAACACAGACACTGACCAGACTGCTGGCTGGACTGAGTACTAGCGAATCCGCCACGTCCAAACGGTAAGGCGTGGTTATAAGTACAGAGGTGTATAAGGGGCGTGGCGCTGTGGAGGGCAAGAAGCCATGAACGGCATGGGCGGTCATGGCAAGAAAGCTCATGTTGTTGTCGTTCAGTTTCAGCTATCTCAAAAACCAGGTAAGGTAAATGGGGGTAACTTCGGACACGGGGTAATACACGGACATAACTCAAACAAGAGAAAGATTCGGATATATTTCACTTGATTAAAGCACTGACAAATCTTCCTCGCGTTTTTTTCGCAGCGAATAAATTTCGAGGCCGGTGCAACGCCCCATGTCCGGAGTTACCTCCGCGTCCGGAGTTACCTCCATTTACCTTATAAGATGCAACCTTGCTCAGAGATTGAAATCCACCACAGGCGTGCAAAAGTATCTATCACTAAGTATGGTATATACAAACACCTAATCAGACACCATCATCACACCATCAATCGTCAGTAATAATTGTAATTACTAACAAGTAAATAAAACATTCTGCAAATTAAAAAGTGTGTGGAATATAAGGATGCCATAAAAAGCAAGGAGACAAGAAAGGGATGACCTGGGCATGCAGTAGTACAATGGGATGATTGTTACATCTTCAAACTGACATTTCTTGCTCATGTAAATTTTACTCCACACAAGCCCTATATTGTCGCCACTCTTGAATTTTGTGTGAAACGAATTCTGTAGGGAAAGCAGCATACTTAGTTGAGCGAACATCAAAGTAAACACAGTCACGATTTAAAACTGAGGACCTGGCATTTGCTGCCAGTCTTACATGCATAGGAAACGAGTCCATCATACGATAGAGATCACTCGTGCTTTGGGACAATATAGGGTTTGTGTGGAGTAAAATTTACATGAGCAAGAAATGTCAGTTTGAAGATGTAACAATCATCCCATTGTACTACTGCATCGCATGCCCAGGTCATCCCTGTCTTGTCTCCTTGCTTTTTATGGCATCCCTATATTCCAATACGCAGAATTTTTTATTTACTTGTCTCCTTTCCTTTTTTTAACGGCATGCACATGCATTGGGGCATAATGTCCATATAAAAGTAACATGTATTTATTGCCTCGGACTCTTAGTCGTCATCTAGATTTTATTTCACTTCCAAAGTAGATAAGTGTATATACAAAGTTATAGGAAAAACAGCACTTAATTGCCTGAGGCTGTTTGTTGTTGTTTACAAACTTGTAATTTCTGTGTCGATGAACTCTCACCATGGTACATCAGTGTACCAAAGAGGACCCACAATAAGCAAGTTATAGGCACAAACATCATTTACAAGTATTCATTGCCTGAGGCTGTTTGTTGTTGTTTACTAACTTCTCTAACCCTAGTGGGATAGCGCACTTACGGCCTTTCCATTGTTATTGCACTTGTACCTTGAGCCCCCTTCTCTCCACACAATTCAGTTTCATAGACAAGTGACATACTCGAGGTTGCGTAATGCATGAACCAGTGTGAGCAGATAATTACACTGTTACATTCACAATCTTGTGCTACCATGGAATTTAACTTCAGGCTCATCACAGTTGATTTGCAGAACAAAAGCCTTGTTATCTGTCTATGTGCTCAGAAATTCTTTGGATAAATGCATGTTATTGAAGCCTGTATATGCTCTGTTCAGTGCAGTCCGAGAATGGGGAACAATGTCAAAGTCTAACACAGCGTGTACTCTTGCGTCTCATGAGTCTCATAGGTCTAATAAAGTTCTGCACGGGTTCGTATTTTTGTCCATGCTGGAATTAAGTTAGAAATAACAATGAGGCAGTATGAAGGGTGTGGTAAAGACGGCGAGGTTCTGATATGCTTTTGAAGATAAACAAATATGAGGCAGAGGAACAAGAGAATGCTGATAGTAATGTGATGCCTGCAATGGAATGCTGAAGCACATGTCATGACGAACACATAGAGGCCATGTCTTGCAATTTGACTATATATGAAAATAATGTTACTTGACAGAATTCATTCCGCTATAGTACACATGGTATATTCAGTGTGGCCTTGAGTGGTGTTGGGTACTGCACTAGCTGTTTGACACTGAAAGTGGACATAACCTTCCAAACGCAGTGTTTGCTGATGAAAAATGTCCTCATTAATATATTTTGTATGAGGAGCTAAGTCTCTTCAGTTGAATATGAATGGTGTATAGGACCACAATGAGGGCTT